TGGGACCCAGCAATTCCATTTCTAGGTGTGTACCCTAGAGAAGCTGTCTCAGAAACACAATGGAATACCCTATGGCAGAAAACAAATTCATTCAGCAAGTTTTTATTAAGCACCAACTCCGTGCCAGGCAGTGAACGAGAGTTCATTTTTATTCTTAAAGAGGTTACATTCTAGAAGATGAAATAGACCTACATAGGTAAATCTCAAAAACATATGTTAAATGAAAAAACAAGTTGAAAGTTATTCACAGAATGATTCAATTCATGGAAACTTTTTAAACCTACCAAACAATAGTATATCATGTTCACAGATAACCTATATCTCATCGAAGTACAAAAGTATATAAAACAGGCTCAAACCACCTAGTCTAGATCCAGATTCTACCTCCTACTCACCAAGAGACCCTGGAGACCACAACTGACCTCTCTGTGCCTCAGTCTCCTCTTCTGTAAGGTGGAAGTGGAAAAGGGAAGAGGGTGGAGAGCTTTAGCAGTATCCATAATGTTTTATTTCTTTTTTTAAAAAAGGAAGTGAAATTTTAACATCTGTCTTGATGGTGATTACATGAATGTTGATATATTTTTAGTATGTTTGAAATGTTTTATAATTTAAAATTTAGAGATTAAAAGATCATAAAACAAAAACAAACACTTCTACACACATTTCTTCCATATGCACTCTTGCCTCCCTCCAGACCCCTTGTCACGTGGCAACCAGAGTGATCTGGCCCCTGTGTGCTCCACTCTTGCTGTCATTCAGTCACTCATTCCTTCGGGACATATATCACACCTACTCTGGGACGGCCACTATAGGTAACAGGATATAAAGGTAACCAGGACAGAGAGAGTTCCTGTTCTCAAAGAGCTGCCATTCTAGAGAAACAAACAATAAACAAGGCAATAAATCCAGATAATTATGGATTATGGATAAGTACAATAAAGAAGTAAACAGGGTGATAGGAGAGAGAACAGTGGGAAACAGGAATGGTTTGGGGAGTTGCCTTCCAGGCAAAGCCAACAGGTGGTCAGTTCTCAGATTCAGAGTTCAGATCTTGGGTCAAAGGCCCATCCCTAGCAAAGCTCTTCCTGATCTCCCAGATGGAGAGGTACCTGATTGCTGACATCCTAACAACAAATCAATGCCTCCTCCAACACTTATCATAATTATAATTAAGTTACATGTGATTGCCTGCTTGGTGTGTTTCCCTCCCTACAATGTAAGCTCCTTGAGAGCCAGAAGCTTGCCCTGTGCACACACCCTGTGCCTATCACAGCAGCTGTAGGCACTCAATATTTGTTAAAGACAGAAACCAAGAGTCAGGCTACCAGCTTCCAAATTCTATAAATCTAATTACAGCGACTCCTGAGGACAAATGCTACCCAAAGGACAAATTCTTATACCATAGATATATTTATAAAATATGCTTTTTCACTACAAAATGAGCCTCTTAATATTGAAAGTGCTAATAAGAATGTCAGAAAACCTCTAATGGTGATGGAACTTCATTGTCTGAGAGAAAACAATTATTTCAGTGATTGTATCACCATTTAAAAAAATAGCGAAAATTCATTTAAAAATCCACTGGAAAATAACAAGTGAATTTTTAAAAATTCAATGTAAACAAAGCAAACAGCATCAAGCAGGTTCAACATTCTGGGCCAATGGAGGCTACTGGTGGGTGGAAGGCAGGTGTATCCGGTAATCCTGGCATTGGATTGAGATGCCACCAGATTTTCAACCCCATCCAGCAATAGGGAAGGTGGGCTATAATCTAACAGTGAAAGTCAAGGTGTCATTGTAACCCAAATTTGTTGCCTGTCCTATTTGTTACTTTGATTGGAAGGCTCTGGCTTTGGGTTAAGGATTTTGTTTTCAATTTTATATCCTTTCCAGTCTTTCCTCTTTTGTATAACTAATTGCCCTCTTATAAGAAAAAAGTCTGGGAGCTTAGCCTAGCAGTGAATTCAATTTCCTGGGATTTCACAGATTTGTTTGGTGGGAAGTGTAGGAATTCACTTTGGCTCATCTTTGCTCTTTCACAAGAACCTGTGGTTTCCCCAACACTCCCTGGATAGTGTGGTCCTAGAGGGTGCTGTATGGCGTTTGGAGGTGCTGTGTGGCCTTGGGGGAGGGCTAGAGTTCTTAAACTCTAAGCTCTGTCTGGGCCTGAGTCCAACAAATCACAGAATGCTCAGTCTAGAGAAAAATGTCCTGATAGTGCAGTTCTGCCCCAAAGGTCATTCGCTTCTCTGGCATTCCGAGCACATCAGTGAAAGCAGAGTCCTGGGAGTACCAACAGGCCTTTTGTAGAGAAAGGTTTTTGGAGAGGAACCATGAAAAGTGAAAGAATTGTACACTGTTTTCTACATTTATTGAAAATGTTTAGTTTCTAATCACAAACATCCAGTGTATGTGGTATGAAGTGCGTGTGTGTCATAGCTGACTCTAAGGAAAATATGAATATTACCACATGGGAATGATCCCAAGGGAAAACCACAAAGAGACATTTCAAGAAAAGTTTATTATTTCAAGAAAAATGTATATTTTCTCCTTCAGAGAAATAAAGGACCTATGAATAGTGATTTTAAAAATACACAAGATGGCTCCATCAGTTTAAAAGGGAACAGAAGAGAGACAGCCAACTTCAAGGACTCTCTAAATCATGTAAAAGGAAAAAGAAAAACTATCAAGTTCTGAACCAAGAGACTTTAATAATTCCCATCATTAAAACAAACTGCTTCAGAATTTGAGTCATTTGAGGTTCCTGCCCAACTGTAATAACTTGAAAAGAATGAGGAAGCATATGTTCTCATCCCAGCTCATAGAACACAGCTGTGACTTGTTCCTGCTCCTGGGACCATGCTGGCCTGGGTGCATAACTGGAATGAGCAATCAGCAGACATCAGCTCCATGCCTACTATGTACAAGAGGAAAACTAGGAATAAAGGGGTAGGTACCATGTCCCCAAGAAGCTAAACACTCAGGTTGGAAAGATGAAGCATAGAATATACCCATGAAAAATGAATATAACAATAATATTGTCTTCTCCAATAAATTTCAATAACGAGCAGGGCTTCTTGGGGGAAAGAAAACGAAAAAGGATAAAAATAGAAAAACGGTCACCTACAATATAGATTCTGCAGCCCATATTTGTTTGACTGACTAATCAATTACTAGAAGACAAGGTCTTCTACCTGATATAATGTGAACGAAAAAGGGGCCACATACCAAACCTGACAAGCTCAGGGGAGGCCTGTATGGTGGGCCATACAAACTCAAGAGACTAAAAGTAATCACATAGGATGGTCTAAATATAAAAATTCCTAAGTAAAAGCAAGTCATGGTGGGTAGTCACGTAGGCCTTGACAAAGGTCAACCTTTAAGTGAGCCTGTCTACTGTCTTTTTGAATCTAAGATAGCATATCTTTGAAATGTCAGAGTAATCTTCTTTTCCAGACTCAAGGCACACTGACATCAGAGCACAAGATCACAGAACTCCTCATTGTTATCTTGTTGCCCAAATACCATCTCTATGTGCCATGAATATGAATTAACTATCCTGTGCCCACCAACATAAAGAAGTACGTATTTCTCTTTTTATCTGATCCCAGAGAGTTCCCCGCCCCCTTAATCTACCACCAATGGATTTCATGTAACCCTCCTTACAACTCCTCCTTTTATTCTAATGTATATAATAAACTGCAAAAGTGCCATTCTCCAGAGCATTTTCTCAAATTCTCCATTGAGATTTTGCTTCCCAGTAATTTCTTCGGTTTAGCTCAAATAAACTCATAAAAATTCTCTACAGGTTTGGAAATTTCTTATTTCAACAATATAAAGATTTTAATTGCTGATGGAAGGAAAACAGCCATGGGGCTTTGTTTAAAGCAACCCAGTTCCTCACCCAAACTGTTCTGGGAACATGGATCCTCACTGTTGATTAAAGACTCCGAAATTGAACATTTACAGTGCACTAGGCTTTGTGTTAAGCAATAGGGATAGAGATAAATAGGTCCTAATCCTTACCTTCAATTCAGACATTAAAGTCAATTATCATCCCTAAATTGTAATGCAATATGGTACGTGAAGTAAAAATAACTATTTTATAAGAATTACTTTGGCAACATTGTAGAGAATGAACCGTGGCTCCACCACTTACAATCTAAATGACATTGGACAAATTATTTAATGATTCTCAAGTCTGTTTCTTCATCTATAAAACGATAATATGAGTATACACCTCCGATCTAGTGCATAGTAACAGCACAGTAAAAGATAGTCATTATGCATATTTTTATTTGTTATTAATCATTATTATGACATTTAGGCTATGGGAGGAAACATTAGTTCAACAGGTAGAAATCCAGCCCGAAAGAATGCTCAGAGTACTTGTGAAGCTAAAGTACCTATTTCTCTGAAATGAAACCGACTCACATCTTAAAGTACAGCTGCCTCCTCTGCAAAATGGGCGCAATTACCATTATGCAGCATTGTGAGAATTCCCTAGTAATAAACGTCAAGGTCCAGTGCGCAGGAACCCACCCAATAGGAGTTGGTATTGCATCAGAACATTCTGAGCAATCGGGAAAACGGCACCGGCAGATTCCAGACGCCGGCTTTCCGCCACCCAGCACAACTGGTCATCAGTCCTCGTCCGCGAACGCCACCAAGTCCTGCATTTGGGTGGAATGCCCACAAGCCCCGGCTCCTCATCCCGCCAGGCTTGCCCTGGCGCTCGGCCTCACCGTGGCGCAGCTGTTCCACGGGCAGCACCGAGAGGGCCCCCGAACAAGTCACACAAAGATTAAAACCACCGAACGTCCCCTGCTGGAGTGACCTGCCTTCTCGGAAGGCGCTGCGGTCTGTGTCTCCCATAGCAACCGTGGCCTCCAACGAGCGATCAGCCCAGTCGGTGCCCTTTGCGCAAGCGCGGGAAAGGGCGGGCCCACGGCGCCTGCTAGCGCCCAGGGTCCCTCGCGTCCCCGGGGCGGAGCTTGCGTGATGGCGTCATAGGGCGGGGCCTCGGGCGGCGGGAAGAGGCGGCGGGAGAATGGAGGTGCCCGATAACCCAGAAGGTGCGGGCGAGAGCGGGCCTCTGGACTCTGGTCCGGTCCCCAGCAAGGCTCCCGGTAGCGCTGGCCACTACGAGTTGCCGTGGTGAGGGCCAGACCATAAATGATCGGTGCTCTAGATGCGTGGGTGGGCGAGAGGCCGGTCGTGTCCCGGGGGAACCCAGGAGCGGGAGCTTGTTCGGGGGTCATCTGAGCAGAGCAGGAGGCTCCAGGGTGTCATCCAGGAGATTATTGTTTAGAGAGGGCGAGAGGCGTGGGTCGCTGAGCCCATCCAGGGTCGAGAGTGGACAGTCTGACCTCTAGAAGAGGGGTGTCGGTCAGAACTATGCCAGGCATGATCATAGCTTCCCCGTGATCACCACTCTGCGCCAGGTGGTGGGCCAGTGGTGACGCTGATAGACACTAGGCAGGAAGCGTCGGACGCAGGTTTGGAGCTACGGGTTGTGTGCAGAAGGCGCCCTGGGTATCTGGGAGGAAATGGTGACTTGAAAAGTCACCTGCCACTGGTAGAGGTGTGCGGGCTCTCTGCTCAGGTACCACTCCCTATGCGAGCCCCTCAGAACTCCACGGAGCGTGGTTATGGTTGCTTTCCTGTCTTCTGTATGTTCCCATTCCTCCAGCCCAACCCTCTTCTTGATGAGAGCTGATACTTAAATGGAGCACAGTATAGCTTAATGGAACATGGACAGCTGCGCTGTGCAGTCTCCCAGCCACTAGCCACATGAGTCTGTTGAACCCTGGAAATGAGGCTAGTCCGAACTGAGTTGGGCTATAAGTGTACAATATACACTTGGATTTCGAGGACTTAGTATTAAGAAAAACTCACTAGTAATTTTTATATTATGTGTTGAGAATGATAATACTTTGAATACATTAGTAAAATTAACTCCATCTGTTTTCTTTCTACCTTTTTTAATGTTGCTAATGGAAAGTCAAAAATTACATATGAGGCTTGTGTTATATTTTTCATGCACAACACTATACGCTTAGGATACTTAAGTATACAAAACAAACTCTGCTGTCATGGAGCTTACATTTGATAAAGACAAAATAAAAAATAAATAAGTAGATATATGGTATATTTGATGGTGACAGATTTTGTGTAGTAGATAGCGTAGATGAGATGATGTTTGAGCAAAGACCTGAACTATGTGGAGAATACTTTCAGGTAGATGGAGCAGCTATGAAGACCCTGAAGGAGGAGCATCTTGTTCAAAGTCCAGCTCAAATTTAAGCTCCTGACAAACCCAGGTGGTGATGCTCTCCGTCCTCTGGGCTTCCACAGCCTTTGGTTTCTTTAACCAGTTTAGCACTGTAGTAGAACTAGCTTAGGAATATCTCCCCACCAGTAGGAAAGCCCTTTAGAGCAAGAACCATGTCTTGCTCATCTCTGTACTTTCTACTTTCCTCCCCTTGAAATCTCTAACTCCTTTCACATTGCTTGGCACCTGGAAGGAGCTGAGTTTGAAGAATGAATAGGAACAAGCATACTCCATCTGCTGGTCTTGGAGGAGAGCTGTCTCTTTATTTCCTGTAGTGTGTGGCAAACAGCCTTCTTTGTATGCAGCTGCTTCTGGAACAGAACCAGTATCTGCAGAGAGTACAAGCTGGGGGTATATCAAGAAGAGTACTGTAAAGGGCAGAGGAGAAGTCCTCATGGTCATATCATTGCAAATCTACTTTTACTGCTCAGCTGGAAAAAAGTCATTTTCTCTCATAGCATAATTTGCTATTCATTTAAAAGAGAAGTATTGGTTTGATTAGGCCACTAACCTGCCTACTCCACTACAGCCTAATAGAGTTTCAGGATAAGCCTGTGGTTTCTGTCTAGCCAGCCCTGCTGTGCACCTGGCACAAGTCTGCAGAAACGGGCCGGTAAGGGATAAGAAGGGAACTCGGTTGCACCCATGTCTGTCAGATCGAATGATGTCAGTGCTGCATATGCTGGACTTCTCTTGTGATGGGCAGACTGTTGCCACACAGTAGCACATTGGTCCAGATGATCTGCTCTGGCCCTTCTCCAACAACAACAGGTGTTTTTCTGCTGTGGCAGGTTTGAAGTCTTTGGTGTGTAATTCTCATGCACTTAACTTTTCAAATGGTACTTCATCACTCCCTTAAATTTAAAACCTGCAGCTATTTGGTATATTTTTATTGAATGTATATCATCTGACAAAGCTCTCAAGGTTGCTGCTCTTTAGTGCTTTCTTTTGGGTAATGTGAAAATAGCCATGTCAACATCTTTCTGCGTTTTCTTAAAAACAGGGTCGAAAAATATAGACCAGTAAAGTTGAATGAAATTGTCGGGAATGAAGACACTGTGAGCAGGCTAGAGGTGAGTGATTTTTTTATAGAACTTATGTAGGTTACTGTGGCTTTGATAAGCTTAAGGCATTTGGAGGAAGACAGTCACGATAGTGTGTTGGGGGTAGGGGTGGGCAGGTGAGCCAGAGATCCAGAAGAACTGAGAGAGTGGGAGACGTTTGGTTTAGAGATGACTAGAAGTGGCGAGTAACTTCAGATATTTGAAGGATTGGCTTATTGGAGAGGGGTTATCAGATTTGTTTTGTATTCTTCAAGAGTAGGAGTGGCAAATTCTTTCTGTAAAGGCCGATTAATAGATACCTCAGGCTTTTTGCAAAACATATGTCTTTGTCAAATATTCTTTAAATTCTTTTTTAAACAATTCTTTAAAAATGCGAAAACCATGCTTAGCTAGCGGGCTTATAAAAACAGGCCTCAGGATCAATTACTCCCACTCCCCCCAGACCCTTCCCACTGCAGTTTGCCAACCTCTGTCTAGAGGGACTAGGTGACAAGGCAGCCAGCTTCAAACAGAGGCAAGCAGAAATGTTCGCAGTAGAGCAACCTTTGAATTCCTAGCCCTAGAGGTCTTTAGGCGGAATCTAGAAGTCCCGACTATCTGAGATGTGACAGAGGTAAGTCTCTGTAGCAATGGGGCTTAGACCTTTAATAGCTAACATTGTATTTATTTATTTTACAAATTTATTCATTTTACAAGTATTTGAGTATCTTTTCTGGGCCAGATATGGTGCGGTGTTAGAAACCGTTAATATAATGGTGAACAGAATAGACAGGATCTTTGCCCGTGTGAGGTTTTCAGTCTAATGGGGGCAGCGATAAAGTCAGCAGGTAATGTGATAAGCGCTCTGCTAGAGGAGGTAGGGGGTGCTGTGGGAGCACATGGGAGGAGTTTAGGGAGGAGTTAACCTGCTCACAGCATCTTCATTCCTAAGTGGAAGAAGTGATAAACCAAGCTAATGAATGGGAGTGAGCCAGACTAGGCAGGAAGGAGGTGGAGAGGAGGCAACAGGAATACCATGTGCAAAGGCCCATAAGCGAGAGAGCTTGGCTTGTCCTTGGGGAGGAAAATGCCATCTGATCGGAATACAGTGTAGTGCTTCCTAATCATTAGTGTGCATATGAATTGCCTGGGGATCTCGTTTAAATGCAGATTCTGGTCCAGTAGTTCTAGAGTGAGACCAGATTCCACATTTCTTACAAGCTGCTGGTCCATGAGCCCAGTGATGAGAAGGCTCTAGAGTACATGTATTGGGGTGTGTAAAAAATGAGGTAGTGAGGTAGGCAGGATCCAGACTGAGCAGAACCTCCTGAGCCATCTTAAGAGTTTGTGCTTCATGATGAAGGCAGTAAGGAGTCATTTAAGGGTTTCAGTCAGGTAAAAATGTTAGATGTGTATTTTAGAAAATTGGTTGTGGTTATAGTATGGGAAATGGATTTGGGTGGAGCAGGATCAGAGGCTAGGAGACCACTTAATGACTTGTCAGAAGTGATCCAGGCAAGAATGTAGGAGTGGGGCTGAAGAAAAGGAAATGGACTTTAGATGAAAGAGAAAGAATGACTAAGCCTTTGTGATAGAGGTGCTGTGTGGGGTGAGGGAGAAAACCCAATTAAGAATGACAGTGACCTCCAGGTTGATGCATTGACAGTCCAAGGGAAAGGAAATGTGGGTGGGCCTCAGGTTTGATGAATTCAGTTTTGAATATGCTGAGATGGGCGTTTTGAATATGCCGAGGGGCCTCCACATGGAGAAATTTGTAGCCGTGTCTACTACACGGACCTGGGTGGGTAGGGAGGTTTACAGGTTAACCAGTTTTAATGAACATTTGTTCCTTCAGGTTTTTGCAAGAGAAGGGAATGTGCCCAATATTATCATTGCCGTAAGTACTCGGTCCTGGCCCTGGTGGGACGTCTTAGAGTCTCATTTTTACTTCCCTCTGAAGTGCTTTCTTGTGCATAGAGCTTCCTCCTCAGAGACGCCTATTACCACCAGAGCCCTTACATTTCCCTTGGCAAAAGGGAACATTTTACCCAAGTTGGTTGGGAGGCCTGTGGGTTGGTTGCTGTGTTGATTTGGTGTGTGCCGTGGGTTGAGGTTGAGGGTTCGAGGGGGAGGCAAGTGCAAACAGTTGCGAACAGTAAATCAGGAGCTATGATAAGTTCATTCTATTGGCTTGAAGCACTTACTGGAGATCTTATCCCCAGGGTCCCCCAGGAACTGGCAAAACTACAAGCATCCTGTGTTTGGCACGAGCCCTTCTGGGCCAAGCTCTCAAGGATGCCGTTTTGGAACTCAATGCCTCAAACGACAGGTATGTCTGGCAGTTAGGACGGAAGGGCATTGAGTGTTTCACATTTTGTTATAGAAACTACCTTTTTTCCATTTCGTGTTGTATGTGGAGCTTGCCTGGACAGCTTTATGTTCTTCTTTAATCTTTCCCAGTGAAAGAGAATGGGAATTCCTTGCCTGTCAAGGTAACGTCATAGGTGCTTGACTTGTTGGTTTATTTTTTTAATGGAAATTTAAAATATTTTTTATTGTGGTAAAATACATGTAACATAAAATTTATCATCTTAGTCATTTTTAAGTGTACAGTTCAGTAGTGTTAAGTATATTCACATTGTTATGCAGTGGATCTCCAGAGCTTTCTTATCTTCCAAAACTTAAACTCTTTATCCATTAAACAACACCCCATTCCCCCCTTTCCCCAGCCCCTGGCAGCCACCATTCAGCTTTGTTTCTATGAGCTTGACTGTTGTAGATGCCTCATATAAATGGTTTCATACAGTATTTATCTTTCTGTGACTGGCTTATTTTACCTAGCATAATGTCCTCAGGATTCATCTATTTTGTCGCATCTGTCAAAATGTCTTTCCTTTTTAAGGCTGAGTAATATTCCACAGTGTGTATATGCCACCACGTTTTGCTTGTCCATTCATCCAACAGTGGATACCTGGGTTGATTTCATTTTTTAGATATTGTGAATTGTGAATAATGCTACTATGAACATGGGTGTACAGATATCTTTTTGAGACCTGCTTTCATTTCTTTTGAATATATAATTAGAAATAGAATTGGTAGATTATTTGGTAATCCTATATTTACTTTTTTGGAAACCTCCATACTGTTCTTCATAGCGGCCACACCATTTTACATTCCCATCAGCATTGCTCAAGGGTTCCAATTTCTCCATATCTTTGACGACACTTGCTATTTTCTGGTTTGTGGTTGTAGCTATCCTAATGAGTATGAGGTGCTGGTTCACTTTTTAGACATGAAATAGTAGAGGATTATGAAATGAGGACCTGTTAAATAAAATGTCTGCAAAGGCTACCTTTGGTTATTCCTAGAGGATGTGGTTCTCAACTCTTTAATTATCCTAGTTTTGAAGATCTAGTTTTGAAGATCTGTATATACTTGAAACAGGCAATGTTCATGGAATACAACTAACTATCATGAATGAGCCTGTAATCAAAACATTTTGTCAATGCTGCTTCCAGATGTCAAATACAATTAGGTTCTAGCTTATTATCTCTTATTCTTCTCATACTTGCATCATCAAACTCACTATTCTTGAAAACTTTGGTGGCTCATAATTTTGTTGAAGAGAGAATGGCCCATAATTGCAAAATATTTTCAGTTTTACACCTATTTGAATGATCAGTACAATGACTTCCATTTCTATATCATCTATTTCCTTCCAGTCACCTCTGTATACACACCTGCCTTCAGCTTTTTATCAATTACAAACTATCCTGTAAATGTTGGTGTACAAATATGATGGACAATGAAAGAATGTTGTCACATGTTCTTTTAGCAAAATGGAATGAAGTCCTTCCAGTTGAGTGACTAACTAGATGAAAGTATATTTAGTTTTTGTCCTTAAAATATATTGTTCACTCCTTAATTCTTTTTTTTTAATTTACTTTTTAGTAAAATATAGTTACTATACAATATTATATTAGTTTCAGGTGTACATAGTTTTTCAACATTTATATACCTAGTGAAGCGATCGCCATGACAAGTCTAGTAATCATCTGACACCATACAAAATTATTCAATATTATTGACTATATTCCCAATGCTGTACATTTTATCCCCATGATTTATTGATTTTAAAAATATGGAACGTTTCATGAATTTGTATCTCATTCTTGCACAGGACCCATGCTAATCTTTGTGTGGTCCAGTTTTAGTACATGTGCTGCTGAAGCGAGTACACTTGATTAAGTCTGAGGATTTAATCAAGTGTAGGATTTTGTAGGATTTTGGCATCTGAGGAAACATAGTCTGAGATGTTGCTTATATGACCAGTTTCACCATCATTAGACTCTAGAGTTCTATTTGTCTCTGCAGTCATTTTCTGATTTGTCTAATAATTATGAAACATTTTCTGTCAGTTTTTTCTTTTTGACATGGGTGGAAAATGAAATGTTTTGAATTTTTAGTTATGGTCAATGAAAGCTTGAAAAAGGTAACAAGGATGATGTATCTGAACTTCTTTAATATCTTCTGAAAGGATAATGCAGTACCTCAAGAAGCACAATAAAAAAATGAAGGATGAGATAACAATAATAGTATTTTTTCTCCCACTATCGTATTGTTCTTCTAGGCGGTTTCATCATCCTTTTATTTTCTTATGATTTTAGTCATTTTTAGCATAGTTGGGAATAACTGATGATGAAATAGCAGTTTTAATATATAGGAAGAATAAGATCACTAAGACCTTAAAATGTATCTTAGATTATAAAATGGATCCATATGGTAATTACAAGATAAAACAAGTTTCATTATATTAAAAGTAAGTAAATTTTTTCTTTATTCTTCTGAAGACTTCCAAGAAGGAATAAAAATAACGAAATTTCAGTTCTTATAAATAGTTGGAATTGCTCAAAAAGGAAACTTAAAAATGAAAATTGAGTCCATGTGGTATATTGATGGTTAAAAGTTCCCATGAAGGTAACTTAATTTGTCTCAAAAGGTGACAGGTAAATTCTGGCTTCTTGTTTCAGGGGCATTGATGTTGTGAGAAATAAAATCAAAATGTTTGCCCAGCAGAAAGTCACCCTTCCCAAAGGGCGACACAAGATCATCATCCTGGATGAAGCAGACAGGTAGTTTGCCAAATGCATTTTGGCCTTGATCTCTAAATCTCTTATCGGGCTTTATTAAATCAGGAGAAGAAGCTCTAACCCTTGCATTTTTGTGGTATGTTTGCTTATCATATCTTCAAAAGCAATTTAAAAGGGGCCTGAGAATGTGTTTGTTCCAGCATCACTTACGTGAATAATTTAAATGACATTTTATAAATTGTGAAATACATGTAAAATTTGCCATTTTTAATCATTTTAAAGTGTACAATTCAGTACACTCACATTTAGTACAACCATTACCAGTATAAATGAAAAGTTTTAAATAACATTAAAAAAACAATAACATATTCTTTGAAGAAAACGTAGAAAATGTTAATATTTGCTTTATTTCTTCTTTCTACACTATGCATTTTTACATAGTTGAGATCATAATACATATAATTTTTGTATCCTGGTTTTTCCTTTTAATATAAAAGGCAGTGTTCTACGTTATCATATCTTGTTTGAAAATAGTTTATAATTGCCATATTATATTCCATAGTATCAATGCATCTTAATCATTTTATTGTAACATTATTTATAGCAATAATAGCAGCTAACATTTATCGAGCACTTATGTGTAAGCATTTACATTATACCAGGCATTCTGCTAAACACTTTACCTGTTATTATCTCATTTAATTGTCATTAGACACACACAAAAAGATAATTGTCATCACAACCCTGTGAAGTAGGCAGTATCATTATCTCCTTATAGGTGGTGACACTGAGGTTTAGATAATTTGCCTGTGGTCCTACAACTAGCAGATGAAGGAACAGCGAGGTGAGCCCAGGCAGGCTGACGCAGGGCCTCTGCTCTATGCCTGTGTGAGCCTGCCTGTATAAGACCCAAACAGGGTCCTGGAGAGAGGCCAAGCATGCTCAGTCAGGAAGTCAGGGTTCCCAGGCTCTATAGGGAGGGATTTGTGGCCGGTGGGACCTGGGTCCCCATTGCACATTGTGCTCCCCATTGCAAACTGTGCTCTTGTGTTTTTCTTCTCAGCATGACTGATGGAGCCCAGCAAGCCTTGAGGAGAACCATGGAAATCTACTCCAAAACGACTCGCTTTGCTCTTGCTTGTAATGCTTCAGATAAAATCATAGGTGAGAGTCAGCTTTGGGTGTCCTAGGGTCCATATAGTGTTCACATTGGCTCTTTAGCAGCAGAAGAGTAGGGACTTTTTGATTGCTTATTGTGGGCTGAGCACGACATAATCAACTTTTTCATTTAATTCTTTGTAGAAGTATTAGCTCCACATTAGAGATGAGAAAACTGGAGCTCAGCGAGGTCGAGTAGTTTGCCCAAAGGCACACGCAAGTGGAAGAGCTGGGATTGGAACCCCACATCTGTCTATCTATTTTGATATCATGTACACAGTGTCATAGTCACTGCCCCTCTCCATACGTGTTCTTGTATTTGCCGTGTGTGTCTGAGTACTTGGCATGCACTGTGTCTGCATGCTGGGCTTGTTATTATCAGCAGTTGCCTCACCTCTGAAACCTTACATGTTAATCTTCTCTCAGAGCTTGTGTGTGTCCTTCCAGCTCCCTCCCTCCTTCCCTCCTAGCAAGCTATCTGTTTTCTAACTGCTTTGAGCCCTCCCATCTCAGTGTCTCAACTTCCTGCTGGTTTCACATTCCTTCCCTTTCTGATACAGACTGTGGACACAGTCCAACTTTCTCTTTCACAGCTCTCTTGTTCCACTGTCCTTGCCGCATGTCTGCCCTGCTAAATCCCAGCCTGTGTGTGCTCAGCCATCCAACTCCCCCTTCTCCACCTGGGCCATTGTGCACTGCTGCAGACAAGCATGTTACCAACCATGATACTCCTGCAGAGTTGGTGGGCTCTCTGTATTACCAGAAATCCTTTATGTCCTTTTACCTTCCCCAGGTAGACATTGTTTGCTCATTAATTTATTCAGCCATTTATTCGACAAGCATTTACTCTGTTCTCAGTAGGTGTGAGGCACTGCTAGTGTAGAACATACAGAATTTAATGAGAAACATTCTCTGCCTTCAAGACACCAATGATGTGGTGGAGGAAACTGCCTAAAGTTCTTGATTGTTGGTCGTGTATGCAGGTTGTCTCCTTAGCCAGGGGTAAGACAAATCTGCGAGGGCCGGAGTGAAGTTATCGACCCTCCTCCAATGCATTTTGCATAGGGCTGTGCATTAATGAGTTATTTTAGTGATTTGAAACTGTGTTTCTTGGTGGAGGAAGCTCTGGCCCTCCCTTTTCATGAATTAATTTTTCTGATATATATAACAGCATTCAGATTATTTTCAATTTCTAAAGAGATATAGCAAACGAAAATGAAACTTCTAAAATTTATTTAATGTTGGAGGAAATGATTTGTGATCAAATTGCTGCAGAGTTGACTTTGAAACTTAGCAATTGAACCTCACTTCAGTTCCTGAAGTCATACAGTTAAAAGAGAGGCATACGTTCTTTGAGGAAGGCCATGGCTGCCTTAATCTGACATGTATTTAAATTTTGTGAATTCAGCTTTTAGTACTTCTCTAAAGATAAAAATCAGCTAAAAGAAACTTCTAGTGTAGTCGGAAGGTTAATTGCTTTTAGACATGGACTCTAGTTTCTAATTGATCTCCTGTCTGTGCTGATAAGCCAAATATATAAACAAAACATTGTGAGGCTTCCTAATTTCAGATAAGTTGAGATGGACTACCTCTTAGGGAAGCTGCTATTTGAAAAATCTCATCTACTTGACAGATACTGAGCATGTGCTATATACAAAGCCTCTACTCTGCATAAGGCACAGCGGAGGCTGCAGCTCTGTGTGAGGCTCTGCCCTGTACTCCAGGAGCTCACGCACGGACAGGAAAGGGACTCCCGAACCAGCAAGCCCTAAGTCATTCCAAATCTTTTGTCTGCTCACCACCACAGCCAGCCCCTCAACAAAATCAAATCCAGGGTCATCTCACCTCTCCAGCGTCTTGAACGCTTGCCACTCTTTGCTTCACCGTTTCTCCCCTTTAATAGTTCAGGCTTCCTCCAACTTCTCTTGGACCCAAGTCACCAGCTGGCTCTCAGGGTCATCTCAGCACAAGTCTGACCCTCCTACTACCTCTTAACTCTCTAGTGGGCTCCCATTGCCTGCATAGCTGTGCCTCCTCACCACCCCCGGGCTAGCACACAGGATCCCATTGACCACAGTCTCATCTTTCGCTCCATGCACTGTAGCCTCAGCATCTCTCACCGTTCGCCGAATGCCCTGGGCCTTTTCAGCACTCTTGCCTTTTTCTTTTTTTTTCCTCCTAAACCAAAATGTTTCCGGCTTTATTGAAGACGCTTTTCATAAACAGTCATGGTATTTCAAACAGGACATAGATAGTCGTTAACAGTATATGACAACTTTCAAACTCCCTTCTTCAGTGGACTACCAAAATCAGAAAGCCACTATAAAACCCAGTGAAGTCTTCGTCTGATGCTCTGAACAGGGAACGTTTAGAGCGAGGGCTGACATATCACGTTAAGCATGTTGTTTAACTTTTTATAAGCCAACCCCAATTTTCAGGAAATGAAATAAAAATGGCAGAATTATCAATCTAGATCCACAATCTAAAAAAGGAACTGCTGCTCTATTGAGGAATGCCATCTCAGTGGTGATACTAGAAAATCTGGGTTGCCTGACATACTGGTAACCAGTTTTTTGGGGTCAGGTCCCAACAGGTTTGAGAGTCAAGTCTATGCTTAAGGTGGAGAGGGAGGAAAGGACATGAAAACAAATTTTTAGTTTTTCCACACCACGGGCATTCATGTCAAGGTGGCTAAAGTTTGTCAACATCAAGGGATCCTTCCTCTCAGGAACCAAGAGGAAGTCTCAAAACTAGAAGAGAAAGGTGTTTTTCTCCAGATCGATCCAGCTCTGGAGACAATTTGTTACTAATATATGTCATTCCCCCAAGTGTTCTGTGTGCTAGCAGTACAGTTTTAAAAAAGTAAAACAAAATTCTGCATTTTTATAAAGCTTGATAATATTTCAAACTGTATAGTCACCAGAAGTACAGTTATCCAAAATGCACACACTTCATTTGGCATCTCCAGCATCTTCAGCTTTCGGTGCCAAGTCTGTTTTGGCATCTCCATTTTCTGCAGGGTTATTCCCGTCCTTGCCGGCATCAGCTTTCCCCTTTTTCCATTTGCGTACCTTCTCTCCCTGCTTTGCAGGGGCCTTTTTAGGCCTGGGTTCTGGCTTTGAGGAGCAGGTTTAGCAGATAAACTTGTGGATCTCCTTTGTGGTTCATTCTTCACCTTGGCTTTATCTCTTTTACCGTCTTCTTCAGCCTTTCTCTTGGACATGATGGTAATGGCAGCAGGATGTAGGCACTGGACACGGATGCAGCATTGTGTGGGCTTGGTCGATCCTGGGGTCATTCTTGCCTCTTCACGCAGCTGCCAGCCCTCTTGTCTCTGAATATGCGGTTCTTTCTTGCCTTTCCAGCCTGGGAACCTTATCCCTAAAGACCCAGCACAGAACTCACCTCCATCAAGAAGCTCCCTTCCACCTGGCTGAGTTGATTGCTCTCTGGCCTGTGATCCCAGAGTTATTCCTAGAAACCTCTGTCATGGTCCTGTCCCATTGTCATAACTTTCCCGTTTGTGCCTCCTTCTGTCCTGATAAAGTTAAGCTCTGAGGAGCCAGGACCTCATAATATTCATCCTCTGCATCCCCAAACCTGGGGAGGTAACTGGTTTCTTTAATGCAAGTAAGCTAACAGGAATATGTTCCTTGAAAGTGTATGTGAACAAAGCAGGAGGTGGGGATCTCTGCAGTCTGGGGATATCTGGGTTGGCTCCATGAGGAGGGAGTTTGAGATGAGCTTTCAGTGATAGTTGTGATTTAAGTGGAAAGAAATTGAGGAAAAGGACATCCTAGGTGGGAGGAGCCCTTCGGGAGAGGCAGGGTACCAGATGCGGGGTTAGGAGAGTAGAAAGATGTGGTTTACAGAAGATTTTACATGGAAGGGTCAGAGGTGGACTGTACTGTAACATTAGGGGGCTGTTGAAAAGTTTGCCTTGGCAGGAAGAGGTGACAGATAAAAACATTTTGGGGAAGGCCAATGTGGCACCAAAACAGAGGATGAATTAGAGAGACCAAATTGGGGCTCAGAGGTCATGGAGAAGCTATTGTCATAGTCTACACCAAAGGTTAAGGACAGCTTCCAGAATTCTGCATTTGTCTAGTGGTTTTCAGTCCTGGCTGTGGTCAGAGTCTCCTGTTGGGCTTTAAAGAAACAACACAGATGTCTCATACTTACCCCAGACTGCCCAGAAGGGCCCTGATGTTCAGCACACACAGTGATTGGAGTCCACGTGGGCCAGCACTGGCTCACCTGCCGGCTATGGCACATGGATGTCTCTATCCCGGAGGATCTTTACCCTTCTGGAAGCTGGCCAGTCAAGGTCATCCCGGGCACTGCTGGCTGAGACCTCTCGTTGCTCATTGGTTGATATTTTGAAGTTTAGCCCCAGTTACCCAGGCACTCGTGAGCACCTGCTGGGTAGAGAGAGTGTGCCAACACGGCTGGGCCATGCGGGTTGTGCAGCTGCTCTAAGTAACCGAAGAACCAGCAGGTTGATGCTGTCATTGGCTGGGGAGCCTCACTTTCTTCCTGTCTTGTTCAGAGCCCATTCAGTCCCGATGCGCAGTCCTCCGCTACACAAAGCTGACCGATGCACAGATCCTTGCGAGGTTACTGAATGTGATCGAGAAGGAGAAGGTGCAGTACACTGACGATGGTCTGGAAGCCATTATCTTCACTGCCCAGGGAGACATGAGGCAGGTGCGTGTAGTTGCTGCCCTTAAGGCACAGAACTCCTGGGCTTGCTCAGCCCCTTATTTTAGGGGGAATAGGGAAGTGACTGCTCTACAGAGCTCAGCATAGCCAGAGTGGGGAACATTGACCCAATACACTGTTGGGGCCTTGGGCTAATTGAGAGCAGTCCTGCCAGGAGCAGTGCTTAGCTAAGAGAGATGGGGAAGGGCTGAGACTGAAAATCACCCTGGATGTGCTTATGCTTTTGTTCCTTGACAGGCATTGAACAACTTGCAATCTACTTTCTCAGGATTCGGCTTTATTAACAGTGAGAATGTGTTCAAGGTACAATAGCTGGTTTGAGTATCATAGCCTGCGAAAGCAGTGTTTATTTGTGGGGGCCAGCAGAGGTGAGTGGGACAGTGCTGAGAGGAACGAGACAGGTAGGCTGTTGCCACTGTGCTGGGGCTCACCCTCAGTGGGTGGGGGTCAGGGAGCTTGCCCTGCTCCCATCTGTCCACTTTTATTTCCCAGAATGGAGGGTTGGAAGGGACTTTGGGATGCCACCAGTGTGTGATAAATGGAAGTGTCGCCACTGCTGCCTCAGGTCCTGTGCTCAGTGCTTTCCCCTGCGTCCTCATCCCCACAGCACCCCTACGTGCAGCTGTTCTCATCAGCATTTTGTGGCCAAGAAAGCAGGCTCTGGCGGTCTGCCCGCGATCATCCAGCTGCTTGAGGCCAGGAGCGAGCACCGCGCTTTCCCCTCAGCAGGCTCTGGCTCCCACCAGAGACCTTCCTGCAAGCACGTGCCCCGTCTCACCACTTCCTGCACCTGGAGTAGGGTAGCAAAGCTCTTCAAAGCCAAGCCGAGGAAAAGGATTCTCACTGTCCCACATTGGCAAAAGATTTTTGTTTTGGGAATACTTTCGAAAATTGGCTACCTCGTCCTAAACACTCAGTGTCTGATTTCTCCTTTCTTTGAGGGTAAAAATTGGGTAGAGCTGTCCTTGCGTTCAATCTATAGCTCTTTCTTACCAAGTTTGTGGTAAAGAAAGCTGTGCTAAAAACTTTGCTTAGACCTTGGCAGTGATGTCTTTTCAAGGACACTGAAAGGATTAGTCACCTGTAGTGACAGTTAAGATCTTGTTTCATCCTGGAGCACAGGCTTGAGGACTCCGGAAACAAGGACTTCTGAGGGGAGTTAACTAAACTGTTAGGAAAGGAAGGCCAAAGGTGGGCTTAGGAACTACCTTGAGATATCAAAAGATTCATTTAGATTTAAATGTTGATACTGCACTAGACTCTCAAATCTAGGGCCAGTGAAAGGAGTTGCAGGAGGCAACCTTTGGGCTCAGCTTATGCTGCACCACCCCCCAACAGTCAGCTCTTCAGGTCATACTGAGGCCGGAGGTCCCTGTCCAGGGAAAGCCAGTTCCAATTCTGGTGGGAGACCGGCCCAAAAGACCTCTTAAGTCTTAAGTGGGTTTTAAGTGGTCAGCCAAGTAATCTAAGATGTGACTAATGGCTTTAAAGCTGCCCCAAGCGGACATTCTTCACTGGCCCTTTGTTAAGTCATCTTGTGTTTGAGAAATCTGTAACATGGTGTCAGAAGCCTTCCCACTGCAGTAGGTCGACATCGTACTCTTCAGTTTGGTGACTTGTTTGGTGATAAGAGGGGCTTTCCCCAGCCTGGCCCTGTTTACTGGAGAATTCAATGACAAAAACAAGTTGAGAGGTTGGTTAGGTAGATCTCCCAGAAGCTGGTATGGCAGGGCTCCCCCTCAGATGGTCTCCTCAGCCCCTGACTCGCCTCTTTCTCCGTTTGGTCAGGTCTGCGATGAGCCCCACCCGCTGCTGGTGAAGGAGATGATCCAGCACTGTGTGAACTCCGATATTGATGAAGCCTACAAGGTCTGCCTCCTTCCCCGCTCCAAGGGACCTTCCACTTAAGCAGGGCTAAGGGAGCTTCCTGTGCTAGGGACTTAAATGTATCACTCCCCTTAATTCTTAAAATGATGCTAGGAGTGGGTACATTCTACACATGAGAAAACTACGACTAAGAGAGGCTAAATTCCTTTCTCTAAAATACTGTTTCGTAGTAGTAGACCTGGAATTCAAAATCGTGTCTTTCCACTCTAATTATATTCTCCACAAGAGGAATTTGTCCACCTAAGAAAAGATCAGCCCAACTCCTTACTTTGCAGTGAAGCCATCTTTCTCTTTATTGAGGGGAGACTTCCATCTTCCCAAGAACATAGGAGTGGGCATCTTGGGACCCAGCAGTCCCTGGCCAGCCAGGAAACGGGGGACCAGGTGTTTCTGGTCTGATTCTAGACCTTGGTCCTGTGAGCAGGTTCCAGTGGGCATATCATCGAGGTTTAGGTGACCCTCACGTCACATAGGTGGCAGCGGTATGATTTAAGGCCATTGGTCTGATCACAGCAGGTTTCTCTCCCCCTATTTCCCACCAAATTAGGCTAGAGGAGACTTGCGTTTAGGGTTAGACCTAATGTGAAACTAGAGCACAAGGCAGGGAGACTGAGGCAGAGGCCGAGGTACACGGACTGGGTCACTGAGTGGGCCTGAAGGAAGCCTTCAGATTTATGCACACAAAGCTTCCCTGCCACCTGAATCTGCCCAAAGATGCCAAAGCAAAGGCAGAAACAACTAACTCTAGATCCTGCAGTCCAAATGGGGTGGGGCGGGGGTCGCAAAGGCAGGAGGATAGATGAGTGCTGTAATCTCCGCCCTGGTCAGGATATGTTCAGGAGTGCAGGGGTCATTAGGACTCTGGAAGCTAGAGAAAGTGTAGCAGATACAGGGTTCTGTTGCCTCTCTGGGGTATACTGGGATGATTGATAAAGTGTTTAAGAGCCTTGGCTAAAAACGTTATTTGGGTATAGTCGTAGACCTTGCAATGCATTTAAAAACATTTGCAATATTTTCTCCCTGCCTACTGGGAAAATCAATTAAATTACCCAACACAATCTAAAGGATGCGGCCCACCAGAAGCTCCATGGTATTTGGCTGATTCTCAGAATCACTTGAGTTTTCTAGGATGATCTGTCCGCTCCCAGCAGTGTGGCAGGCCCGAGATTGGTGTGGCTTTGACCTCATTTTCCCCAAGCGTCCTTGCTGTTCACAAAATTCAGTAGCCTCAGTGTATCTTCTCTTGTCTAGATTCTCGCTCACCTGTGGCATCTCGGGTATTCACCAGAAGACATCATTGGCAACATTTTTCGAGTGTGTAAAACCTTCCAAATGGCAGAATACTTGAAACTAGAGTTTATTAAGGTCAGTGAGAATACAGCAGTGCCTCTCTTCTCAAGAATGTGGGCCATGCTATGGTTTTCTTTATTTTATTCACAAGGCCTGGCACCAGGAAGGTGCTCATTAAGTGTCCCCGACTACAATGGAGGTGGGGGATAGAGGTGGGGCGGCTGCTTGTTTTGGGGGCTGGGAGTTTGTTTAAACTAGTTCTGCTGGGAGTTTATTCAAATAGTTAGTGACCTACTGTTCCTTAGGATGACTCTTTTTATTAAAGATTTATTCGTTTACTCATCTTTAAGGTCAGATTAATTGAGGTAAATTTACATAAGAGTAAAATGCAGTCTCTTAGGTGCATTCCCTTGACAAAGTCATTCAGTCGTGTAAACACGACTCTCTAATCCGCCTGCAAATTTATGTGCCCCTCTATAGTCAATTGGAAACCACTGATCTACTTTCTGTTTAGGAGACAGAATTTTCCAGAATGTCATACAAATGGAATCAAGCAAAAATGTAGCCCTTTGAGCCTTGCTTTTCTCACTTAGCTTAATGCATTTCAGATTTGTTCGTATTGTTGAGTCAATGGGTCGTTCCTTTTTATTGCTGAATTGTGTTCCGTTGAATGGACGTAGGAGTTTGTGTGTTCACCAGTTGAAGGACTTTTGGGTTTTGATGACTATGAATAAAGCCAATATAAACATTTGTGTACATGAATTAGTGTGAATGTGAACGTAAGTTTTCATTTCTCTTGGGTAAATTCCCAGGAGGTGAGATTGCTTGGTTGAATAGTAAGTTTAAGTTTAACTTTATAAGAAACCAAGCTGTAGCATTTTGCATCCTACCAGTAGTGTGTGAGCATGTCAGCTGATTCGCATCCCTGCCAGCTCTTGAATGCTCAGTTGGTTTTTTAAAAGCCATTCTAATAGATGCATAGTAATATCTCATGGCCTTAATTTGCATTTCCCAGTAACGAATGATGTTGAGCACTTTTTCATGTGCTTATTTGCCATCCAGAATCTCCTTTGATGAAACTTCTGTTCAAATCTACCCAGTTTTGTCTGTGGCCATGCTACCCTGAACAAGCCTGATCCTGTCTGATCTTGGAAGCTAAGCAAGGTCAGGCCTGGTTAGTACTTGGATGGGAGACCACCTAGGAAGACCAGGTACTGTAGGCATAAAAAATTAAAATAAGGGAATGTAAAATAACAAGGTCCTTGCAATCTGTGACATCAACCAAGGGTTGCCTCGCCTAAAAAATATAAAATAACAACAAAAAACAAATCTACCCAGTTTTTAATTGGGTTATTTTTTTTATTACTGAGTTTTGAGAGTTCTTTATATATTCTAGATGCAAGTCTTTTATCAGATATGTGCTTTATAAATATTTTAATATTTTCTCCAAGCCTGACTTTATATATATATGTATATATATTTTTTAACAATATCTTTCAAAGAAATAGCTTTCTTTTAGGAAATATTTTGAACTTAAACATAATCCAAGATATTTTCTAGTTAGAGTTTGAGTTCATTGCATCAATTTTGAGTAAACCATTAGTTTAGATTTAAAAAAAAATAAATAAACTTCTCCCTCACTTATTAACCAGATTTAAATTTGATTTGTTTTTCAGGAAATTGGATATACTCATATGAAAATAGCAGAAGGTGTGAACTCCCTTCTGCAGATGGCAGGGCTTCTGGCCAGGCTGTGTCAGAAGACAGTGTCCCCGGTGGCCAGTTAGAGTGGAGAACTCAGCGATTGGGTTTCAAGAGTCCCTGAGAGACAGGAGTCACAGCCTTCCGCTTGGAAAAAAATGCTGTCACTGGAACACACCTTCCTCTAACACACCATGGCCTTCCCGGTGCTTCCGCACGTCTCCACGAGCGTTTGCATTCAGCCCCAGACTCAGGGATGTAACAGGGGAAAGGCCCAAGAGAACCTCTAGGACACAGCACCCAGTCTGGGCGTGTGTTGGCATTTTAGCTAATAAAGCAATTTTGTTGACTATGATGCAAGGCCATAAGAAAGCCAGCTTCCTATCTCTGCATGCCTCTCACATCCTACCAGTAGAAAAGATTGTTTAGACTGGACAAGTTAATCTCAGTTTTTCTGGGAGCCTGGAGGACATTTCCATGGGGGTTGTTGTAATTTACTGACTATTTAGGAAGGCTTCTCAGACCCGGGGCCATGATCCCATGAGAAAGGACTTACAGGAATCACAGAGGAAAATGGAGGCAAATGGAAAACTCCCACTTCGCTGCCTTTTCTGTGCAGTGCTTACTGCTTTAGAATTCCCCCGGGAATTTTATATTAACTTATAGAATTGCTTTTTTTTTTTCTCGCAAGGTACTATTTTTGCCATTTTTTTTTTTAATTATGAAAAATATCAATTATATATAAAAGAATGATATATTCTCTTATTCTTCACACATTCATCTTAACAGTTTACCAACACATGTCCAATCTTATATCTTCTGTACTCCCACCAGCCCATCCCACTCTGGGAATGTTCTGAAGCAAATCCCAGATGTCATTTTAGAATGGTGTTTCTAGGTGGGAATGACTCAGCTTCTGTGATTGGTGGTCTCCTAAAAAGCTTTGAAAACATACTTGTGTGATATGCTGGCTCCCAGAGCCACAGCGGTGTGGCCGTGTGCAACCATGCTGCAGATAGTGCTGGAACAGCTGGACAGGCCCACATGCTTTTCTCTGCCCGCCCAAGCTGGTTCACAAAGGCTCTAGTGCTTTAGCCTGAACCTTCATAGCAGGAGGAAGCAGGGACGGGATAGGCCTGTTGGCACTTATACTTAGTGTCATCCCTCCCAGGCTGGTTAAGTAACTTGCCCAGACCATTTCGTTGATAAGGACACTGAAGGGACACAGTGGAAAGGCTCTGAGATTACTGGCTTGTTGGGTTTGGGTTTCAATAAGGAGAAAAAAAATTAAGGTCCTCAAACTACAAGATGAAGTTTTACAAAGTATTTATACATACTTTTTCAACTTATTTTTCTTTTGTAGCCTCAGCGTCCCTGTAAGGTAGAGAAATGATTGTGCCCAGTTTGATTGAAATGAATTGAACCCCAAGCGAGGACCTGGGGCTCCGCCTGGAGCTTCCTTGCAGCCCTGGCACACCCCTGCTCAGACCCAAGCTGTCCTCTGAGTTCGTGAGGCCAGGACCATGGGGTGTGAAGTGACAAGTGGCCGAGAGTTGTGTTCTGGTTGTTTTTCTTCTAATTTCCTAACTTGTAGCATTAACTTCTTATAGGAAGAATAGATGTGGCATTCTGGCAAGAGAGCTGGATGGACTTGGGGACCAAGGTCCTATCCCCAGCACTCCCTCCAGGCCTCAGGGTCCCTTTCTGTGAATTGAGAGCCTGATTCATTCCCTTAGAAGGTTTTACATGAAGCAGAGAAAGCAGACACTGGAGAATTGCTGCTCTTAAACTAAAAAGGTTTATTGAGACGTTTTGGTTGGAGGAGGCATATATTTTTACCTCTAACTGACTTTTCTGACTCAAGGTCCCCCTGGGCCCTTACCCTTCCCATGAGACAGTCATGCTGCTCAATCAGCTGAGGCAAGGCCAGCCCTAGAGCAGAGGAAGAGCTCGGGGCAACTGAAGGGCACACTGTTCCACCCTGCCTGCCCTCTACAGGACTGATGCACTTTGTCCACAGTGGACATCCCCACTGAAGGGGCATGAAGATGGCTGTAGCCTCAGCTCTTCCTCAGTGAACTGAGGCCCAAAGAAGAGCACCAGGGCTCCCCAACTGCTGAAATTGAGTACATGTAATCCTTGTAGGAGACAAGATAGACAAGATCTCTGCCCTGGAGTGTAGAATATTAAATATGGCTCCACCTATATAAATTAACTACATGGTTATCAGCCACAAAAAATATCAACCAACATTAGTAAGCAATTTGGGATTCAAATCTGCAGCAAAAAAAGGACGAACACCAGGGTTGCACGATGTTATCGATGTCCTAGGCATTCAACCACAGTAGAAGCTTCACCGCCCTTGGCACCAGGCTCCTGCTCTGCCTGAGGAAGGTGATTCCATGTGTAACTGCCCTTTCCCAGGCGAGGTCCCTCATGGATGTCCTCGGGACATGATGTATCTCCCAGGAGTAGCCGTGGCGGGGTCCAGAAGTTTGGAGAAGTGATTGTCGTGAGGTGATAAATTGCCCTGTGAGCTCAGGGTTTCTTGGCTCCATCAGTGAAGACAAAAAGTGTTGGCTAAAAGGAAAAGGTATGCTTTGGCTAGCACTTAGTTCTCTCAGCACAGGAGTTGCCGTTTCCCTAAGGGGAGGGACACACGGTCACGGTCAGCATTCAGCTGCCCTCCCACAGCTGGCTGAGAAGAGAGCCTGCCCATCAAGCAGCTTTAGTTGTGTTTCTTCCAGGAGCTTCTGATTTTCCTTTGAAATCCTGACTGCTCTTTGTTCCTAACCAAGGCCTGTGTTATTTTGACCTGCCTTCAGTGTCTATCTGCAGCCTGACCTCTCTGGCTCCAGGCGCAGCTCCCTAACTGCCCATTTCATATTTCCCCCTGCGTGGGCCTCTCCAATTTAATAGGCCCAGAAATATACACCTTGTCTACTTATTCTGCCTCCCAGATAGATCTCAGTGGCTGACAGAGACATTCTTTCTGCTCAGGCATAAACCAGCATTCCTCTTCAACTCCCACCTCACACCCACGCCCAGTGCATCAGTGAATCCTACTGACCAAAACACCTATTCCGCCGCCTCCCTGGGCCAAGGTGGCACCTTTTTCCTGTACACTCGACTTATTGGTTTCCCTGCTCCCACTGCTGTCCCCCCTGTAGTCAGTCATCCCTTGGTATATTCAGGGGATTGGTTCCAGGACCCCCTCCCCACAAATACCCAAACCACAAATGCTGAAGTCCCTTATGTAAAATGGTGTAGTACATGCATATGGGCTACAGGAAGTTATGCCTACACATCACTTCATTTGCGTGGATTCAGTGTTGTGCTTGGTATGTGGCAGATTTAAGTTTCGCTTTTTGGAACTTTCTGAGATTTTCCAATTTGTGGTTTGTTGAATCCACTGATGCAGAAACACATACAGAGAACTGACTGTATTCATTTCTCTACTCAGTAGCCAATGATCCTTTAGAAACATCAAGTCATTCTTTGTTGCAAACCTTCCCATGTCCACCCTCACCCGCTGCAAAATCTCAGAAAAAACCCAGGTGCTGGCCCTGCATGGCCACTACCTTCCTCCAGCTCTACCACTCTCTATCCCCCACCTCTCACCATGGTCAGAGGTGAGAGGCACACGCCTTTGCTGGTCCCTCTGGGGGTCCTTCCCCTAGAAGGGTGAGAAGGGGGCTCCGAAAAGCCTCCCTGGCCTCTCTTAATTTACTCTGCCATCTCCTGCCCCCTGCCCAATGTGACATCCTGCCTCTCTCTGTCTCCACAAGACTTATCACAACCTAACGTGCTGTTTTTACCCTCTGTTCTATCTCTCATCTCACGGGTATCTGTTGTATCTCTCTCACCAGAATGTCAGGCATTCTGTGTATTGTTTATTAGTGTGTCCCCAGCCTTGAAGGTGGGATTCGCCCCTGGCTGGTAAATACTGGGTGAATGAATGGACAGTGGGGTTCTCTACCTTGGGCTCAAACTTCTGTGGATGGTTCCTGACCCAACCATGCCTGCCACCTGCTGAGAGGACTGCCTGTGTCCCCCAGATTGGGACTTTGGACAGCCTTCAAGGGCCCTGGAGTTGATCCTGCCGCCAGGCAGTGGCAGAGCCTGGGCTCCAATGTCCCCTTCTCCACTCACTATAAGTGTGACTTCAGGCACGTGACTTAGAGCTCTGTGCCTGTGGGGCAGCAAGACATGGTGTGTATGAGCACTTGGCACGATGCTGGCCAGTGCAGTGACTGTTTGATGTGGTTCGGCCACTGTTGTCATTAGAACCATCTTCTCCCAATCTTGCCCCTTGTCTGAATCCAACACTGGCCACGTCCTGCTGGGTTCATGCTTTATGTTCAGTGTCATATCTAAGATGTAGGTCCCATTAGCTCCTTTTGCAAGTGAGGAAATAGGTCCTAGGAGGTTAAGTCACTCGCCCCAGTTTGCAGAGACCCACCCAGAGCCCACCCCTTCACTCCTCAACTCATCAGCCTTCCCTGCCTGACACACCCACAGCCTGAGACCCTTGTGCCTGCCATGAATCTGTCACCTCACCAAGCCTGTGGGAGTTAGTGGCAGGGTGGGCAGGGACTGCTTGGGAGGCCCAGCACCCTGTAGAGCCACCCCCATTTCAGCACCCATAGGTGCTGCCTCTTGGTTCCCCCTCCCCCATGGCTCTTCCAGCTCGAGCTCTCATCTTCTCCCTTGGAATAGGGTCCCTCAGACCAGTGAGGCCACCACCCTGCACTGAGGCAGCTATACCTTCTCCCAGGTCTGCCCTAGGCTTCCGTGGCCTCTATGTCCTTGTTCACGTAATCAGGCTCCCCATCATCCTCATCTGGACTTCCTGCAGGAGAGGAAGGTGCTTCTCTTGGGACTCGCTCTGTGGACCAGCAGGCAGACAGTCAGATGGTTCACAATGGACACACCCAGCCCTGTTCCCGCAGCCAGAATGCCCACCCTGGGGCTCAAACCCCCAGAGGCCACAAAACAGCCTGAAGGAAAAACTGCACTGGATGGTGTGTCTGTCCTGGTTTTGGGATTTGACAGAGATTTGTCCTACCTGGGGAGCAGAAGGAGTGTGACTCCATTCATGCAGCCGGATGGGCAGCCTGCCCAGGAAGACCCAACCTCAAGAGGCCATGGCTGCTGAGGGGCATCTTGCCATGGTTCAAGGCCAATGCAGCCATTAATGCACTGGAGGCTTCACCGTGGAATCAGCTGGCCTGGCTGCAGGGGAGCCCACCCCGGCCTGGCCCTCCCAGGCCAGACCCCATAACTTCCTGTCCCCCATCCTCCCAGGCCAGGCCCCTTTGAACCTGCTGAAGTTGACCCCAAGAGCCCCTGCTCTCCAGCCACATACCCATGACCCTCCTGGACTCTCGCCACTGCTCGATGGAAGCTGAGTTCTGATAGTCTTCAGATCCCTCATCGCCTGCAAGGAGAGCAACAGGAGAGGGGGTGCAGGGGGACACGACTAGTCCTCAGGCCAGTGAGGTGCCATGGGCCCTTTCTGAGAGGCATCCTGCCCCCCCCGTGCTGGGCAGCCCCTCGGGGGAGGAAGGGATCACTCTAGCACATTCCCACTGAGGTCCAGAATGATGGGTCCTCCTCCTGGGCCACAAGGTAGCACTTGACCCAAAGGAGATATCAGTAAACTTTCAGGCTTCAAGGCAGGCGATACATTTGAGCTGCGGGTACTTCAGATCTCATTAGCCCCTGCCAAGCTCTAGGTCGACAATCTTACCTGATTCGGGTTGTTTCTGCTTGCAGATGAGCACATTCTCATAGGAATTAGAATCCTCATCATCTGTTGGAGAGAGGGGAGAGGGCTTGGGGTGCACTGGGTCCTGTCCATCAAGCCTGGCTTTTCCTCCCTCCTTCCATCCCACCCTCTTTTGACAGATGACTTGTTCTGCCAAACCCCAGGGTCCCCCAGGGCCTGGAAAATGCTGTTGGACAAGGCTCTTAATGGGTTCTGGCCTGGATCCATCAGCTGCCACCCTGGGCTCTCTCTCTGTCCTCCAAGGTCACTCCCCGAATGAACTAGGGAAGAGAGATTAGAGGATGGTGTGGCATTCAGGCCCAGGATGAATAATTGGAGGGAGGGAGGCCCATCTCTATCAGGCAATGAGGGGCAGGGAGAGCCACTGGGGGGCCAGGAGAGACAGGAAGCAAACCTAAGCTTATCTGGAGGCAGGACCCTTCAGGCAAGGCTGGGTGGGCTTGGAGCCTTGCCCAAGGGCCTAGGCTGGGTATGACATATCTGAACCTGGTACCCTGGCATTGCAATGCCAACCACTGCCCCACCCAGCATCCATCTGTGTCACAGGCGCTCTGAGAAATGAGGGCCCCATCCTAAATTGGAAGAGGCAGGGAGGAAAGAAGAGGAGCCCCCACCCCAGCATGGGCCAGGCAGGAGCCCAGGCCTATGCACCTCTCAGCAGGCACTGCCCACCCTTGGTCCTCAGTTTCTCCTTCTGTAAAGCAAAAATATTAAGGGCCTAGGGTTCCAGCATCCTCAGAGCTTTCAGGGCTCAGTGTCCATCCACAAAGCCATCCCATCCAGAGTCTTTTTCTGAGGTCCCATTTGTGTCTAGCCCTGAGTGGGGCCTGCATGACAAGGGGCCCAGCTTCCCCTTGCCCCTGCCCCCAGCTCCCCCTCGTTTCCTCATCCCTGTGGCCTACCCCCACAACTCCATGCATCTCTTCCCTCCTCTGCACTTGGGCTTCTGCCATGGTGTCAGCTCCCTTGTCCCCCCGCCATCACCACCAAACTCTGCCATCCGTCTAAACTGAGGCCCAACCTCCTCTGGCCCCATGAGTGTGACTTCTGAGCTGAGCTTCTTTGCTGCTCCTCCCTACACCCCTCCTCCTCCTCTGCCTCACCTTCCCTGGGCTTCTGGAACTGCCCCCAGTTGTAATATTCCATGGCGATGGGGTCTCTGGCAAGAAAACAGACAGAGCACCAGTTTCTGGATAGGCCCGAGGTCGGGGTGAGGGCTTCATGGAGAACAGTGAGGCCAGGGCTGCTCCAGCCATCACTCCCCCAGGGGCCCATGGGAGGCTCAGCCAGAGTCTCCTCCTATTTTTCCATCCTAATTCCCTGGATCTCTGAGCCACCCTGGGGCTGAGAGCATGACTGTCTGGCTCCAGCCACCCTGCCATGTGACCCTAGACAAGTTCCCGCCTGTATTAGGTCTCAGTTTACCCCTCTGTGAGATGAGGCATCCAAGGGCCCTTCCTCTCTGGGGTTCCAGGTGCCGCTGTCACTTATCTCTGACTGGGTAATGCTGGATGAGTACCGCCAGACAGCCCCTCCCCAGAGCAGGGCCATGTCCCTGTTCCTGTACCCATAAAGCCACGGACACTTGAAGAGGAACAATGCTACTGAGGGCTTGCCTGGTCCTGGGCTGTCAGGTTCAAGGCTAGGACGCCTTCATAAATAAGAAAGTCAGGGCAGAGGAGATGGGGAAGAGGTTCCAGGGTAGGGAGAAGGCCACTCACATGTAGGCTGCCTCTGATCCATGTCTGCTTCCTATAGGAGGAGGCAGATTTAGTCCTGAGCACCAGGTGTTGGGTCCCCACCACAGCCCCCATGTCCCCAGAGCCCACCTACCTTTGCTGAAGTTCTGGTACCTGGGGGATGCAGAATCTGGAAGAAAGACCAGGTATTTCCTACCTTCACACCTTTGTACTTGCTCTCTGTCCCCTCTCCCACTAAGCTAATCCCATCAGGCCTCCCAGCCTGGCTCGTGATCCTCCGTGTGCGTCCTCTGCAAAGGCTTCTCTGTCAGGCCTGGTTCCCCTGCCCCCTTCCCCTGGGACCCCCCTGCACAGTATTTGTCCCATAAGGTATTCACCTGTCTCAGTCCCACCTCACCCCTGCCCAATACTGTGTCTGAGGGTCACTCACCCTGAAGACTGGGGGAGAAACACAGGAGCTTGTCCTTCCTGCAGGGGAGGGGAAGGTAGGGGCTGAGGAGGGGCCGGGGGGAGAGGCTCCAAGGTTTCTGGGAGTTTGAAGGCCACAGCCCCACAGCCCTCTGGTGAGGCCTTCGGAATCCAGGACTGGAGCTCTGAGATCCGAGGAGAGATGAGGTCTTGGCCTGGGCTCAGCCAAGTGGGAATGCCAGGGACCTCCTTCTCATTTCCTCCTGTGGGGCTGTGACCCTTCTAGGGCCAAGACAGGGGGCTCATCCTACCTTGCTGATGCCGTATCATAGACTGTGTCCACCAGGGGACCTGACCAGGCCTGCCCAGCCACTGCAAAGAACAAAAAGGTATCGGTTAGGCCCCCAGCCTAGCCCATCAGTGTAGCCCCCTCGCCCCCTCACCCCACCAGATCATGCGTGGCCACAGCCTCAGGGCAATGAGGACAGAAGGGATTTTGATATGAACCCCCAACCCCAAGCCCGGCCCCTGGGCCCTACTGTTGGGCGACTCACAGGAATAGGTCCGGGCCACCACAAAGTTCTGCTCATTCTCTTGCCTGTAAATACATAGCACTGTGCTGACCTAGGGCCTGGCCTTGCACAGCTCAGGGACGGAGAGATAGGAGAGATGGACAGATAGGGACAAGGAACAGAGAGTGGGAACACACCAGAGTGAGAGTGAGGAGGAGCTGCCATCCCTCCGGGCCTCAGATCTAGAGCCCTGCCCCCTGATACCCTCATTCTCTGGACTACCCACCCAACCACCCACTGGGTGCCTGCCCTTATCACATGGCCCTGGGTTAAAGCCAGCTGCCAGAGGGACCTATCCCCCGACAGGGCTTCCCCAGGACCCCCAAGAGATGGTCAGGAGAATCCATGGGTAGAGGTAGGGGGCAGCCCTGAGATTCTGGGGCATGATGGTTAGGGTGGCTGCTCAGAGACCCAGTGGTGATTTCAACCAGGAATGACAAACAGGCTGCCCCCACCTACCACCTCAGGAGTGTTTAACATTCCTAGGAGAGCATACCCCTCAAACATACTATTTATTCCCAGATAACTGGTGGGACAAGGCTTAGGAGACCCATCTAGGTATCTAGCCATTGCCTAGTGTCCCCTTGTTCCTCTGAAACACTCCCTTGTACCTAAGTGTGGCCACATGACTAAACTCTGGTCAAGGAAAAGTAAGCTTTCCAGGAAAGCTCCTTAAAGGAGTCACTGACAACTGGGGTACAGCATTTTGCCCTTCTCCTTTATTCTTACTAAAGCCTGAAATGCAGAAATCAGGGCTGGAGCCTGAGCTGCCATTTAGGACCAGGAAAAGCCCTTGAGAATGGAAGCCACCACTAAAGATGGTGGAGCAGGTTAGCTAACTGTTAAAGCATTTTGGTCTCCTCCTCTGGGCTAATATGGGTCCTGGCCCAGCCTTCCAGGAGCTCCTGGGGCACTGGGGCTCAGGGTGACCTGATTTAGGCAAGAGGCTTTAAATCCACAGGATAGAGTCAGGCATGGCTCCCAGGAGGAAGCGACGCAGAAGCTGGCCGTGGCACACACAGTCTTTTCATGTAGGCTGGCAGGACTGAACCCGAGTGAGGTGGGAAGAACCTAAGGCTCCTCTCTCTCCTCCTCCTACCCCAGCCCCATTTTCCTACCCCTTACATGAAGAGGTTTAGCCTGCACAGTTCTAAGATCAATCGGGAGCCTGCAGTGGTCAGGGACTGAGGAAGGAGGAGAGAGGAGAAATACTGAGGCCAGCTTTGGGGCAGGGGCATGGGGGACAGCAGGGGATCCCAGCCCACCCCGATGGAGGTTGTGGGCTAGAGACCTAGAGGACCAAGTGGCCAAAAAAGCCTGGGAAAATCCAGCCCTGGCCGCAGGAGTGGGCCTGGATGACAAAATTCTATTTTCAAATCTCACTGTGGTTTTTTCAGTTGCAAAAGGAAATGAGAAAGGGTGTGTGTGCGCATATTTGTATGTGAGTGGCCACCCGGGCGTGTACACAAGTGCTGCATGTGCAAAAAGTGCATGCATGAGCAAGTGTGCAGCGAGCGTGTGGGTGTGAGTGGGCGTGCAGGCCTGTGGATGTGTGCACACGTAGACCTCAGAGGTCTCCCAGGTTCTCCATCAGTCACTTTCCTACTCAATGTAAGAACAGCAATGGCGGCTGTCCCCCGGCCTGGGCTTGTTCTTGGGCCACCCCCTGGTCTGCTGCATGTAGCGTGGCTGACCCTTCCAGGGCTCACAGAGGGGCCCACTTGCCTTCGAAGTGCCTGGAGTTCCATCCACCCAGGGCTCGCCACTTTGCCTGGGTCACTGACCCCATTTTATCTTTACCCCACGTCCTTGCTGCACATAAGCCCCTGCTTCCAGCACTTGTGTGGCCCCCTTGGCCCTTAGGACAAAGGCCAAGGCCTCATCCCACAATCAAGGCCCTTATCCAGCTCATCTCTCTCAAGACGCACTGTACCTGCCACCTCAACCCTGGAAGACAGAGTCCACTCAGGTCCTATGTCAGCGACTGCCCACCATTCTCTCTCTCTGGAATGTCCTCTCTCGTCTCTTTCTCTCTGAAAATTGTTTCCACTTCCTCCGTTAGGCCTCCTCTAATTCCCCAGGAGACATGCCCACCTCTTCCCCTGAGCTCCTTTAGTAGCATTTTCCAGGGGAAGCTCAGACGCAGCTCACGTTGTGCTCTGTGCCCAGTCTCTGCCCCCCATCCCATCACACCGCGGGGGGCAGGATCCCTCTGTCAACACGGCCCCCACCACCAGCACAGCAGGCTGCAGTGGGGTCACAGGGAGACTCTCTGGAGGTACTCCTGGGCCAGCTGGAGAGTGGCATTCCCTCCTCCTGAAGCCTTCCTGGACCAGGCTGAGGCAGGGCCTGGACAGCCCCTGGGCACCCCCTCTCCCTCCTCTGACAGCTCAGAATCCCCCCACCTCCACCTAGCCCCGAGCCCGGCATGGAAAAAGTGTGAGAAGAAGTGCGAGAAGTGTGAGAAGAAGTGTGAGAAGAAGTGAGAAAAGTGTGAGAAAAAGTGTGAGGGAAGGCGTGCAAGGATGCCTGAGGGGACACCCACGTGGATGTCCACGCCCAAGGCACACAAAGTCACTGGACTGGGGACACTGTGGCACTCACAGGTTCCTCTGCTCATAGATTTTCTCTGACCGCTTCACACCTGCAAGAATGGGTCGGGATTAGCAAGTGTCCCGGAGCCAGGGTGGGAACTGAGATCCAAGGCACCCTCCCATCCTGTCTCCCCTGTACCCTGTGAGGCCTCAGAGAAGACATGGGGGCTGAGCAATCAATCACTCTGAGCCACCTGAAGTCAACAGGGTGTTTCTCATCATTTATTTAGGAGAGCAGACGAAGGGAAGGTGGATGTCCCAGGCAGCCCAGCCTCCCTCCCTTGTTCAAAGCAAACACCCCAGATATTCGCCCTTGACCTAGCAAAACCAAAGTCCCACAGTGAGCTAGCTCCATTGTCTTCAGGGACAGTTTAGGGCCAGCCCTTGGGGGATGTCACCCCCACTCTTTGAGGTTTATCTGGCGGCCCTTCCAACCACAGCCAGGTCTGGGCCTATGAGTGTCTCTAGGTACACCGCCTTCTCCTCTATCGTGCCCATGACCCCACCCACTCCGCCCCACAATCTCGCCTTTACCTGGGCGGGAGCAGTGCACACACAAGCCGGCCACTGCCCCCAGCAGCAACAGCAGCAGAGCTGCCCCTGGCCACAGCAGCTCGGTCTCCACACTCATGTCTGCTCCTGGCCACTCTTCCTGCAATGCTACAAAGTGGGGCACCCCATGAGCCAGGGGCGGGGGCTGTGGGGCCATCCCTCCAGGAAACCACCCAGCCCCCACTCTCAGGTTCTGACCCCTACTGTCCCCTGATAGCCCCCAGCTAAGTCTAGGGGGAGGACCTGCAGAAAAACCAAACCGGGACCAGACCTATTTTTTTATCTGACTGCAGATCCCCACCCCTGCCCCGAGGGCCAGCATCAACATTTGATAAGTGCTAGAAGGTTCTGGGGACTCACCAGACAACACCGTGTGTATGTGCACATTCCTACACACACCCTCGCTGAATTCACACAATTGTCTTTTGAGGGAGAGGCTCACTTTTCACAGATGAAGAAACTGAAGCCAAACATCTTGCAGTTACTAAGTGGAAGGACGGGATTCAAGTTCCAGCCTTCAGACCCTAACTCTAGCTTTGTTCACTGCATCCCTTGCCTCCTGTAAATCCTGCTTTGCTTCCCAAGCTCAGAGTCCGTGAACCCTTCTGCACAGGAGCCCTCAGCAGCCCCCAGCCATGGGCACTTCTCCACTCCATCCATGGCCTCCTGGGTAAGCTGGGAGTGGGGTTTCCATTCCTTAAAGATCTGCATGCCCAGATTCCTCCTGTCTTGGGAGCTGGGAGTGGGGAGATCAAGGAAGACTTTTTGGAGGGTGAGCCTGACAGCACGGGAGAAGCGCACTCAGACGGACCTGGCATGATGCTCATGGTGGCTGGTGGGATGTGCTGGGAGGGCAAAGGCTGGAAGGGAGAGGCTGCAGGGTGAGGAGGCCCTGAATCCTGGGCTGTCTTAGTCAGTGGCTGGTCCCAGCCTTGGCGCCACACTGTGATTGTCAGACCATGGCAATCACAGCCATGCACCGGGGCCTGATGAATGCAAGTACAGCCTCAAAATAGCCAGGACACAGCTGAGGGCAGCAGGGGACCTGCAATGGGGCCATGCCCCAGGTGGGCAGGTGGAGCCCCCTCCACTGAGCATTCCCTCTGTTCACACCTGTGCTTCTGTATCGGGCACCTGGGAGGAAGGCCTCTCCCCACTTCACAACTGGGGAAGACGAGGTCTGGGGAGAAGCTGAACTTTATACTGCCCATTTCTTGCTTCCTGAAACCTGTGAGCTTCCTCCATATCTCTGAGCGTCCTGATTCCCTGTAGCAAATATAACAAGGAACCTCTGTGCAGAGCAGAGCCTGGGTCAGGGACCCATCACAAAGAAGTCACTTCTCCTTCTCCAAAATGCCACGTGAGTCAGTGGGAACACTAGAATTCCCAAACCTTGTGACTGGCCAGCCTCAGCTCCCCGTCCTCTCGGAGCCTGGGCACTGCTTCCCCAGCCTGCACACCTTGCTCTGGCTCGTGTGGCTGCCCCAGCACGCTCCCCTTCCCGAGCACTCTGTCATGGCTCAAGTCCATCTCAGGCTGTGTGCAGTTGGGAGCACTTGCCTTATAGAGAGGACTCCTGGGGTCAAATCCTGCCTGTGCCTCAGCAGTTCCTAGCCTCAGTTTTCTCATCTGTGAAACGAGGATCAGTCACATCCAGCCTGGCTCCTGGCCAGGGCTTCCTGAAACAAACCTGCTGAGGGGCTTATTTCCAGTTGGCTGGTTGGAGCAGCTCCCTCAGGCTCCTGCCCCTTTGTCTTTTGGTTAGGACAGCAACTCTTCCTGCCCCCAGACATGTGGGATGGGTCGTACACATTCTCCCTGCAAGAGTCTTGGACAGAGTGGTCCACTCCCAGCCACTTCCACAGGCTGCTTAAGACCCCAGAAGCAAGTTCATACTCGCAGCCTGGCATTTTTGAGGCCCAGGATCTGGCCTGCTGACCTCTGGGGAAGGGTGGCCCTCCATCCCGGAAGAGCCCGACCACCGGAGAGCCCCCTTGCTTCCTGAGGTGAGAGGTACACTGTGGGGTGCCCCCAGCCTTGGCCCATCTCCACCTACCTGGCCATAGGGGAGGATGGGGAGGGAAGCATGAGAACAAAAATGCTGACCACGAACACAAATGGAATCTCAGCGTCATGGGTCTTTTGCCCTTTAGTTAAAAGGGGGAAATAATGACACTCTTCCCGTGGGTTTGTCACATGAGGCTTGGCATTGAGATGACACATATAAGGTGTTGGTGCGGGGTGGAGCACAGCTGGCTGTGACCACCATGACTGGCCATCATCATGGTCTCCATGAAAGGGGCAGGGGCAGCCCCAGCCTGTCAGGGCCGGAGCTGGTTGGGTGGCCTGCAGCAAACCATGTGGAGCAACTTTACCTCATCCTCAGACACATGGGTCCTGAGCCTCCCTCTACTGCCCCATTTGGGTATCATGCTGGGACCCTGGGAGGGGCTAGGATCAGAAGAGAATGTGACCCTTACCCACACACCTCAGTTAGTTGTCACAGACACGTGTAGCATCACGTGGGAGACACCAGCTCCTCTCTTCCAAGGGAGGTCCAGAGAGATGAGAACTCTGTCCAAAGTCACACACCTGGCCAGTCACAGAGCCAGGATCCAAACCCAGGGCAAGCTGCCTCCAAAGGCCACATTCTTTTAACTTTTCTTATATTACTTTTTTAAAAATCATGAAATATTTTTTAAAAAACTAATCTGAGAAAATCTCCTGTAGCTACTCCACCTTCCCAACTGAATAAATCTGCCCTCTCTCATAGCTTTCTACTTATGCTCTAGAGCAGGTGGGACAGGGTGAAGGTGGAGGGAGAGGAGGCTAGCCCCAGGAGAGGCAGCCCCAGCAGCCCCAGGAGGCCCCAAGAAGCCAGGCAGGGCTGGGTAGGGTTGGGGGTGGGGGAGGCTGCCACAGCCGGTGGCTCTGCAGGCCAAAATAGCACAAGGGGAAGTGGGCAGTTTTCATGTGAACAAGGTTTGCAACAAGCCGGCTGTGGGAAAGCCCTTGATTCTGGGCAGGGTGGGCCTCAGTGTCCAAGCCTTCTGCCCAGAAAGGCCCTTGGAGATGATACTGCTCACTCTCCTAGTTCTTGTCATGCCGTAGATGGAGAAACTGAGGCCCCCTAGGGCCGCAGGGCAGGCTGGGCAGTGAGGGTGGAGCGAGCGGTCCCAGTCTGAGCCCTGGGAAGACTATCCACTGGGCTCTGCTCTGAGTCTATTTTGTTTCCCCAAATAACCTTGGCCTTCAGATGAGGCTGGCTGAGAGGTCTGAACGGAGCCTCTCAATGTTCAGGTGACTGGTACAGGGCTTAGGAAGCCCTTGTCCCAGGGCAGAGATAGGGGATGGTGAAGGCCAGGGCCACCTCTTGACAGAGCTGGGTACAAGGAGCTCCCCAGGGATTACAGCCTCTCAGAGCTCCAGCAGAGAGCTGGCAGGCCAGGCTGGGGAGTGAGAGGTGGCGGCCAGGACAGTTACTTCCATCTGGCCTGGGGCAGGACGTGGGTACGTTTGCCTGTAGAGTCTCTCCCAACCTCCCATAGCCCCGTGGCAGAGATGTTACAGTCCCATTTTATAAAGAAACCAAAGCTTATGGGTCTGGACCTAGGGATCCACTGTCCTGGTCCTTCACCAGTCTCTGGAAATGAGGGGACCACTCTGGGGCTTCCCAAAGCTGTGCAGGCTGGGCTAGGGGAAGTGAGAACAGGAAGGGGACCGGAGCCCCAGAAACAGATTGCCTCTCTGAGTGCCACAGGGCCCGGGGTAACAGCTCCCTAACCAGGGGCACCAGGGTAGTAGGGCCAAAAGATGGGGTTCCAGGTGTCCTAACATATTCCCCCCTCCCTTTCAGTGGGCCAAAAAGCACCCCTGCTAGGCCAGCAGGGCCACTCCAACCCCCTCAGGGTGTCAGGGGTGGAGCAGCCTCAAGACTCCTGCCTCAGGGCCAGGCTCCAGAAACTCCTGGGAAAGGCTTACCTGAGAGTTGGGGGCTCTTCACCACAACCACTTCATCCTGAGCCCACACACCCGCCTGAGCTGATGCTAACGCCACAGACACTGACGGGCAGCAGGCAAGGCGGCAGGCTTCCTGTCAGCCACTGAATCATCCCTCACACATCCGCTGCCCTGCCGGACAGGCTCTGCTGTGAATAGAGACAGAAAGACTCCCCCCCGCACTCACTTGCTCGCTCGCTCGCTCTCGCGCGCGCTCTCTCTCTCTCTCACTCTTACTCTAACACACACACAAATTGAGATAGGCATAAAGAGAGAGAATGAGACAAACACAGGCACAGAGAGAACAGAAAGACATGGATACACACACACGCTAAACACACATACGTAAACGCAAGTCACAGGGAGAGGAAGAGACACAGGGACAGGGAGACAGAATGAAGTGGGGGTGCTCACATGGACACACGAGGCAGCGAGAAAGTAAGAAGATATGAAGAAACACACACTAAAGAACATACATAAACACAGAAATACACATCCACACTGAAAACATGAACACACCGAGACACCCACACATACAGAGAGAGAGAGAGAGAGAGAGAGATTGAGGCAGGGAGAGAACGAGATACACACACACAATATACAGAGATACAGAGAAGGACAGAGAGAGACTGGCAGTGAGTCTCAACCAAGAGACTCAGACTCAGAAGGAGAAGGAGACACGGTTAGATAGAGACACACACACTGACATAGCCTATCAGAGACACATTCAGAGTGAGAGAGCCAGAAACAGAAAAAGACCCTCACAGAACAAGAGTCCCAAGAATGAGACATATAGTACACACACACATATACACACACTCACACACAGAGAACATGGGACATATGTGGACCGGGCAGACGGAACAAACAGCTCACAGCAAAGAGCCAACAGAGGAATGGACAGCTACAGGCATGAGAGGGAGGCGGGCAGAAGGACTGGAGAAGGAAAGACAATCATAGCTCCTCCTCCATCCTGGGAGGCAGTTTTGTCACCCCCATTTTGCAGATGAGGCTTGTGGAAGTGTGGAGCAAGATGAGACCACTGACAGTGTGACCACAGCCTCATTCTGACTGGCTGCTGCCCCTACACCAGCCCCTTCCCTCATCTGTGAAAGATGTGATGTAAGGTCTGGAAGGCACTGGTTCACGGGGAGAGATGAGTAACCACATGAGTAGTGCTGCAATGTTTATGCTGCTGGTCACTAGTAACTTGCCCAAGGCCATGGAACTATTGGTGAAACCCCACCCACCAGAGACCCCAGGGAAGCCCCCGAGGGTCCCCTCATCCCCCATCTGTCTGGCACTTCGGAGCCTGATCTCTCCAGCTCTGGGGGCCCCTCTTGGTTCAGGGCTAGGTGTCTCCTGTGGCCCCAGCAAGGGGTGACCAAGACCTCCAGCAGCCCAGGCTCAGCCAGGGCTGGTAAAGGGGGAAGTACAGACAGGAGGCTCAGCCTTAAACGAAATGGAAACCGAGGGCTGGGTCCATGCTGCTGCCACCTCGTGGGGAAGAATGGCGGCACACGGACTGGAGCTTGTTTTGGGTGAGTCCGTGGGCCCTCAGTGTCAGACACTCCCCATCCATCTCCATACATGGTGGGACTAGAACTAAAACCAACCCAATCTGATTTCCAAACCTGTGCCTGTGCAATGACCACCATGGCCCCTCGTTCCATGTGGGAAACGCTACATTTAATCCCCAGTCACTCTCGCCAGCTGGACGTTAGTTTCTTATACAGGTGAGAAGATGAAGGCTCACATAGGCTAACTGGATTTGAACCCAGACTACCAAAGCCTCCGAAGCCCATTGTCTTTCCACCACCCCCAAGTGCAGAGACATCAGTGGGTGCACACCAGCAGCCCTCCTTGCTGGGCTGCCTCCTGACCCTCCTCACGCAACTAGGACAAACCTGCATAGATTTCCATTAATCCCTGGACCACACACCTCCCAGGGGTTTTCTGCTCAGAGACGGTCAGAAGCCCCATATATGATGGGAACGAAGCTCTGTTCTACACTCCTGGTTTCTGTCTTGGGCCTTAGCAATGGCAGGTGCTGGAGTAACCTCCCACTACTGGCAAAAAGTCTCCAGGTCAACCATAGTGTGGCCAGGAGCCCTCTTGTGTCCCGGGCCCACAAAATCAGGGGCCTGTCAACCCAAAGCCCCTTTTTGGACCTGAATGGAAGGAGTACCCTGCCCCCCTTCTAGGCAGTTCTCAAATTCCTCTGAGTTCTGTTTTATTTATAAAGCATTCAGTTGTGAATTAGAAATTAAGATGTAAAAAACTATAGACAGTTCATGTCATTATATAAATTCTAGTGTTTTTTTCAAACAACTCCATGGGTTTTGGTATATTACATTGTATATAACAAAATTTACAATTTTAACCATATGTTTAAGTGTGCAATTCACTGGCATTAATTATAGTCATATTATACAACCACAACTATTTCTAAAACTTTTCATCACTGCTAACAGGACTATCTGGCTTTTCAGTTCACAGCTGAGGAAGTTGTGTGCACACTTGCTATAGAAGCAAGATGCCTAGGTAGTAATGCACCAGCTCTAAGAACTCTCAACAGTCTACGGCCATGTCACCCTGAACAAGCCTGATCTTGTCTGATCTCAGAAGCTAAGCAAGGTTGGGCCTGGTTAGTACTTGGATGGAAGACCACCTAGGAATACTGGGTGCTGTAGGCATAAAAAAATCTCAACAGTTCCAAGGCTGAGAGTCTCCTATTACATTCTTTAAAGGCTGATGAAAAGCTATGGAATTAATTCATAAAAATGCACCTTAAGAAGTACACACATTACTGAAGTCCCTGGAGCTGGCTGCCACCTCCAGCTCTCAAGGTGTAAGCATCATTCCCATCCCTCACATCCAGCCATTTGATATTTCTCTTTGGTTGTGAACTCACTACCCAATGGAACCTAGAATATTCCATTCTTCTACCTCCTCCCACCTAAACTCCCATTTTTCATGTTATTTCTAAAGTTTTATAAAAATTTTAAAAAGTATCATGCTGCCTGTAAGCACTTGGGACTAATTTTCCATCTATTATAACCATGATCCATCCATTTGAGCATAGTTCATTCCTTTAGACTGCTGTACTATAGCCATCATCTGAATATAGCTCTGCAGCCATGTTATTTCTCTAGTACATACCTGGGAAGGGAGCTCCTGGACTATGAGAATATCCAATTTTCATTTTCGAGTTCATTCCCCAAAGAGGCTGCACCCATTTACACTCTTATCTATGACCAGACCCACAAACTCTCTAGCAAAGTGGTTTGTCAGGCTTCTTGACATTTGCCATTTGAATGGGTACAAAATAGTATCTTCTTTGCAGTCTTGACTTACAATTCCTTAACTGCTAATGAGAAATTACACATAATTTTTTGGCCATATTTCATCTGTGAAATGTTAATGTTTTGGTTTTCTCTTGGGTTGTTTTTTACTGATTTGCAGGAATTCTTCATATACCCTTCATCTTTTAGTTTGTAACTTGTCTTTTCCTTTTTTGCTTTGATAAAGTACTTTTAAAAAAATCTAGTGAGCATATTCTTAACTTTAAGAGTATTAATGTCTGTGAGAAAAACTTCTACCAATTCCAAGGAATCTTGGTGCTATTTATAGGAACTCTAGGTTGAAAAACTTCTCTGATCTCCTTCCCTCCCAATCCCAAAGATAAGCTTCTAGGCCAGTAATAATTTTATTAACATTTTATTAACAGGTACAAGAAACAAATTCTAATGTCCAAACTGAATACCAAAGAGCCTACCCCTGTGAAATGGTTTGTCTTTATTTCGATATTTAATATTTTACAGTTAGAGGGCGGTTACAGATGGGGGAAGAGGTTAGTAGTAGGTTATATTTAAGTACATAGTCTTCATATTTTGGTTCACTTTCATGACAAAAGATGATTAAGACACTGGATGTATTTATAAGCCTATTAACCTCACAAAAGTGAGAAAGTAACTCAAACATCTCAATGTTGTTAAAAATTGGTCAAGAAAACATGGTAGAGCAAAGCTCCTCACCAAAATAGGACATGTAGCCAGGCCCAGGCCAACCTGCTCCTTTAAGTACGAGAAGCCCAGCTGACCATGCAATCTGACCTCTGTGCAGTCTCCCTCCAGGGGGACCTAAGGCTGATTCATCATCCCACATGCCTGGCAAACCCAGTTCAGGAAGGGGTAAGGCAGACCAGGGAATATCCATCTGTGGCACACACCATGGGCTGCTGTTCTGTATTGAAGATCCTTTAGAAAGCCCAGAAAGACACTCCATCGGTCTTCCCTCCTGACTTCTCTGAAAGAGCACTGGTGCAAAGTTCCATTGGGTAGACAGCAAGGAGCAGTTGAACAGAAAACGGGCTGCCTACCCCATTCTCTACTAGCTCAAGAAGCCCTGGGGACAACACTGGGCCCCGTCAAGTCCTACTGCGGTTGACATTCCAGAGTGAACCTTGTCACAGTGGCAGTGACCCTGAATGACCTCAACTGCCACTTGGAACTGGAGAAAAGGACTGAGGAAAAACCAAAGTGTATTTAAAGCACAACTCCTGAAAAGAGCCAATTATGAGGCTGCTTAAAAAACAAACAGGCACAAGAATCTCTAGAGGCCACAGATCACTGTCTCATCACACCACAAAGGAGCCTCAAGCTGGAGTGGCTTTCCAAGCTGAAGTTATTTAGCTGTTCTTGTTCTAAACCTAATCTCTACTAAGTAATCTTCACTGAGAAAACTAGGCTATTCCTTAAAAATCAGGAATTGAAAGTGGACACTAGGTAACAATTTCAATACCTCTCTCCTCCACCCAAACGTCTACCTCCTGACCTCCTCCCTCTTTCCCCATCCTGTTCCCTAACACTTACCTGAAGAAATAAGGAATTTGAGCCATGATGGGAAACCCAGGTTTCTCAAAGTCAGCTGTGGAAACTATTCCTTCCCTAGGACCTGGAGAAACAATCTGGCCTCTGACAAAATGGATTCTGTGGTTAAGAACGTTCTGAGAAACCCACGCCCCTTATTAAAAGGGCCTCATCTGGAACTTCGACAAAATTTCTCTGAAGCCAGCTCAGGAATAGTAGAGAAATCAGGCCTCAAATATCTGCCTAACCCTCTCTCTGGAACATTTACATAGTTGGTGTACACGTTTGTGAAAATGACTCTATTTATTTAGGTGCTTCTATGGGAAAGACATGCCCTTTTAATTCAGTTACTTACAGATGGGATGCAGATACTAAAATGCTTTTGGTAGTATTTATTACAGAAATATTACACACCAAGGGAAGAGGTGCTTGTGAGAAGGAACTGTAAAGTTATAGCAACATCTGAGGGAGGCAAGAAAACAGCTGCACAGGACTTCCATTTCAACTCTAAGAAATTTCCGAATTTCTGGGAAACCAAGGGTGTGAACATTCCACAGGCCCTTCAAAGGCAGACTCCAAAAGGACCTTTGGAAGAAAGCCTCAGAGTTACATTTCAAGCCTCTGGCCACTAGCACCAAAAAATTCCTCCAGGAGACCAAGTCCTAACTCCTCAACTTAGGGCAAGAGGGTTTTCAGACTCAGGGATTCTCTCCCATAAAGAAAATACCAAGCAGGCATCAAGTCCTCTCTTCCATGCTCTTGCCTGGGGAGCAACTGAAGTAAAGTTACTCATGTACTGGTCTCAACAGTACCCACTCTTCCAACTTGGTTTCTCCAGATAAAGCTGCAGTCAAGGTTCTTGCCTTAAGACAAGTGAATCCTGCAGGGTGCCAAATGCTCTACCACCACCCTCCTCCGCCAGCCAGGCATGTCCCAAACAGCTCAAAGCTCTGCACCTTGCCCACTAAATCCACCAAAAACCATAAAACTACCAAACTACACAGCAGTGCCTCCCAAAAACATATGACCTGCTTGCCATGGGAGCAGCACCCATCACTGTCAAAAAGAGTGCCTAGAATTTCTTCTAAGAACAAGCTGTTTAAAAATGCAAGTGCACATTGTGCAAATAGTTATTTTTTCCATAATGGGAAAAAAGTCCCTTTACTCAACCAAAAACTACAGCCACACCATATGTAGGCTTCTGTGTTAGGTAAATTACATTTTTAGGAAATGAGGGGGAAAACAAAAGCTGGCATCCTATTTCTGATCATCACAAGCTCTTTCAAGATAATTTCACCAATCCTATAACTTCCAAAAGATGCCTTTCTCACTTAAATTATAGTACACTCCACTAAATACAGATGCTGCTTCCCAAATTTAAAACTGTTAATTTCATAAGCAGCTAAAAAGAACTCAAAAATAAAGACAAGCATTAAATATTACGTAAGGTTTTCTTTTATTTAAAAGATCATTCACAAAATACCATATCCATAGATTTACTTTCTGTCATATAGCTGAATGTGTAAGTGTTTGGAATTCCATTCTTACATTTAAAAGTCAACTGGATTGCCCAGAAGTTTAGATGAATTTGTTTTGTTCTTAATCTTTTCCACATTGAAGATGTAAGTAGGTCATCTGAAAGCATCAGGTTTGATTACAACCACATAATGCATGTCTTTCTTAAGTATTGGTGTTACACAAATGGTTCTTATTTCAGAAGCAAAGATGACAGGTGGAAGGAAAGAAGGGAGAGTTCTGTAAATTGCTGAGACCTTGTAACAGAGTAAGAGAAGCAAGGGATGCCAGCTCGCGACAAACTACTATCTAAGCACAATGCGCTGCGTAGGCCAGGCTACCCCTCAGCCCTCCAGTCATGCTGGTGAGGGTCTCTAGCTGCTGGCTGACCCCGAATTGCTCGCAAAGGAATGGACTGAAACTCGGGTGTTAAAGAATTTAATTTGTTCACAAATAGGTGTTCAAGCTCAAAAGCTACTGTCTAGCCCCCAATCCCTGGGTAAAAGCTGAACACCGTACATGGGAATAAACTTTGTCCCAAAGATGAGACCTAGGAACTTACAGCCACCTACCAGTTATTTTAAGGTTCTTGACAGCTCTGCATAGTAAAATTCTCAATTCATCAAATAAACAGTAAAGTGCCAGATTCTAGGCCCATTTTCATCATAAAATTAAGGGATGATGAGAAGCACAGTATCTCATTGTTACTCATACAAGGGAACAGATAAACACAAGGGAGAGATGCAGAATACAGACAATAGGGATTTGGAAAAAGCAATGTCCACACTATAAAGTTAGCCTAGCACTGCTCTACCACCTCTACCACCACCACCACCCTTTAGTCCCCCAAAGCACCTGTGCCCTGCAGAAGGGAAACCAGCAGCAGGAGTTTGCTACATCCAGCCAGCCAGAGGAGCCTCTGATAGAGCTGGTGAAAGGAGGGATCCAGTTTGGACATGGTGTTGAAAGAGCAATAATAAAACATGTGAACACAGTAGCGCATTCGATTGATCTATGTGAACTCCCCACCAACATTTCACATTACCTTTAGGTTTCACTGTTTGAAATTTGAGCCCAGTCTGCTTGAATAATCCATATGGGGTGGGGGTGGGGAAATAGAGACAGGACTACCTATAAATAGGGAGGGGAAGGAATTTGCAAGGATCAACAGATACTTTATCCTTGTTTTCAAAACAAGGTGCCTCAAATTCTGTATGTTGATCAAAGCTGAATAAAAACAAGGTGCTATCCAGTCTGTGACTTCTCTGTTTTGTTTTTTTTTTCGTGGAAGCCACAGCAATACAGAACTCAACAAGCAGGTCAGAAGAGAAGCACTGAGGAAAATCAAAGAAAACGACTGAAGTCTGGCCAGGGTGTCTGAAGTAAAGAGAGAAAGCAAAGGAGAAAAATGAAGTAGCACCTCAGTCTGAAGAGCTCCCACATGGTGGCTACCTTTGTTCCTCTAGACAAACTTGTGCTGGAAGGAAATAAGGAGCAAGAAGGAGAAAAGACAGAAGGAAAATGGGGAAAAGGAGTGGCAGGAAAAAAAAAGCACAAAACAGGCACTAGATACAGCAAAGCCAAGAATGTACTAAAAACCACTTGTTAACTGCTGACATGCACTCACAAGCTCTGTTTCCTTTGTAAGAAAGGAGGACATAGGTCAGGCGCAGGAATGGTAACTGCAGGACTGCCGGTCCAGGGGGCTGGCCAGGCTGTGGTCTCGCTCTAACTCCCCCCATTCCCTCCCAACCACAAGCTCATTCTTGCTCCTTCTGAACGACTTCCTCTCTCGGCCGGGCTCCCCCGAAGATAGCAGAGTTGGGATTGGCTACTTGATTGAGGGGTGTTGCAACTGTTCGAGGTTTAAGCTGGAGCCGTGGTCTCTGTGCTCTTTCCTCTGAGTGGGAGGAAAAACATGGTTTATAAAGAATAGGACCCCATTCCCCATTGGGCAAAATGACCGAACTGATGCTGAACTCTCTAGCCCAGCTCATTATCTAAAAATTAACAAAACTACTTTAATCCCTAGATATGCTAATAAAGGTAAACTTACTATTTAAGACTAAGAGTGGTCTACAGTAACAACTGTGCATGGCCTAAGAAGGCAAATGTCCATGAGGTGCAGTCAACGTATCATGAAAGGCTCCCTCCATTTACATGCTGTTGCCATACCTTCTGTTGGTTCTCTGAAATCCATATTGAACCCTCGAAGGGGAGGACCATCTCTGAAACGACTTCCCATTGGGGGGCCCGTTCGCCGGTCACCTGGGCGACTCCCTCCCCTGCCTCCTAAGAAGTCATCCCTGAAGCCTGAAGAAACAAGACGACAATGAATCACTTTTTAAACTACTTTCTCAAAGCTGTTTACATAGCTTGTATGAAATGTTTGATTTTAAATTTTAAATTCTTTATTTTGTCCAGAATCTGAAGTTTTTCCAAAATACGGTGCATTGAAAATGAATCCAAATGTAATAAATCTGCTGGGTAATTTCAATGCTACAGACTCTTTAAATAAAAAAGAATCTTAGGACAGGAAAATAAAATAAGCTGTTTAAATTCTTAGCTTGCAGGAAAAGTAGAAAAACACCATTATGAGGCTATATTCTAATATGGCTTAAAACGATATGAAAACCCTCAAAGCACATTTTATTGTTTTCTAATATAAATTTATAGTTATTAAAAAGATAAACCTGAAATTTAGAAGTTACAATTTAGAACGCAAAATCACAAGAAAAACCTAGATACAAAGACAAAATAAAAATACGAAGTCACCTCTGGGTGACACTCCCCATTTTCCTGTTCTTGCTGCGTTTCAGTGTGGATCATTCTAAAAAGCAAAGCACCTGTGTGGTAAACAAAGCAGTTATCCAAGTAAGGCTCACTCCCTAAGGGGGGCGTGCTAAAGAGAGCAGAGTACCTCACCCAACCTGTACCTCACCTCCTCTAGTTAAAAAGGGGTTTTCACCATTCATTTGTGTATCTGCTAAAACATTTACCAACAGAAGTAAAATGCATCCATTTAGAAATGTTAAGAGTAAGTTACAATTCTCATCAGTGTGTAGATAAAAAGAGTATTTTCTCAATGGACTTTAAAAACCTTAAGCTTTTAAGTTTATATTTCAGTGAAAGTCTTTCAGTTACGGCGGTTTAAGCCAACGAGACTAACAGTATGGCCTGCTGAAATGAGAGTTAACTTCCAGTAAAAATTTAGAAAATAAGACTGCAATTAAACAAATGAGCTTGTCCCCTCTCAAGCTCCCAAAGATGACTTTTACTCACTCCATGGATGGTGCCACTGCTCAAAGCTTTATAGGAACGTATCTTTGACAAGAATTCTGAGCCTGATGCATATTCTTCTATAGAGAGTTGATCCCCATTATTCATTGCTTTCATATTTGCAAATTCATCTACTTGCTAAAATTTACTTGTAACCCCCAAATCAATACTTGCAGCACTTTTGCTGTCATTCAGATATGTATATAGCAGTGAAAGATTTGAGTTGTCTGACACGATCTCAGCTGAGGTGGAACAAGGCAATACTCTTCTTGTTTCAGCTCATACTGTAAACAGAGTCTTTTTATGACCTATTTAGTGCAAAGTTTTTGGCTCTTGTGCTTTTTGTTGGTGATTTCTGTTTACAATGATCCCCAAACAGTGCTGAAGAGCTGCCTAGTGTTCCTAAGTGTGCACAAGAAAGCTGTGATGTGTCTCCAGGAGAAAACAAATGTTAAGATAAGCTTCAGAGAGAAGTTACAGTGCTGGTGGCCAATATTATGAGTTCAGTGTTAATGAGTCGACTATATTAAATAAGGTGTCTTTATTTTTTTGTATTTTATTATTAATTTTTTTTAAAAAAATTGTTATTATGGTGACATTAGTTAACAAAATCCAGTAATTTTCTAGTGTACAATTCAACAGTAAGGTATATATATATACTGCATTGTGTGTTCACTGCCCATAGTTAGATTTCTTTCTGTCACCACATATTTGACTCCTTTTACCCCATCTACCTCTTCCCGCTCCCCCATCCTCTGGTAACCACTAGTCTACTGTCCATATCCATGTGTCCGTTTGTCCTGTTTGTTGTTGCTTTTAGGTTTGTAAATAAGGTGTCTTTAAACAGAAATACACACTAAACAAGTTTATGTATTGATCAGTTGACAGAATGCTGTGATGAGGTTCCCAGGAACCTGACCACATTTCCCTGGGAGCAGTGGTTTAATATTTGATTTGATGTTTGAGGTGATTCTATAGAACCTAACTTTCTGCATATGTGGAGAATCAACTCTGCAATGGTGGTACTTTTCCTATTCTTTAAGGGTGGCAAGGGTTTTGGAAATGGATAAAGTTAACTGAAACTCAGTTCAGGGACTGAGTTGAACAATATCAATTTTAGCAAAACAAGTAATGAAAACAATTCTAAAAAGATTTAGACCATATAGCATTGCTTTGGGGGAAAACACACTGGGATGCATACAGTCAAGTATAAAGTTCTTCACAGTCTTTTAATCTGACACTTTCCCCAAACTATTCTAAACTGTGAAGTATATCTTTCCCTGTGAGTATGGAAATAAAGTTACCTTCTCTTAACAAGATTAATTTTTGGTACCAGTGTTTAGCACGAAACAAATCAGCTCGCACCCACAGTGACAAGGCCGATAAACAACTGCTACTTTGTCCAAGTATGTGACAAAGCACAGTAGAGAAAAAAAACCCAATGTACGTTAATTAACATCAGTGACAGCTTCATTTCAAAATATGATATGAGTAGGGAAAAGCAAGGCTGAAATTAACAAATACCTTTTAATCAAGTTTAATGATAGATTTCTAGGAAGCATACTATTCAAGAGAATAGTCTTAGTTTTCTTTATAAAGCTAGGTTAACACATTGGCCATTTCTGGAGGTGGGACTATTTTATTTTTATTTGCTTTTTTTTCTTTGCATATTTTGATAATGCTTGATATTTCTCTTTTACAATGAGCAGGTGTCATTTTAAAAAATGGCATCATTCTTTTAAAGAGTAAAAGAGATCTATTTTCAAAAATAATGTATATAGGCATTACTCCATGTGGGCACTTCATCAAAACATTGCAGTTCACACTGAACTGGTGGTGGCAAAGTAGTTTCTCCGGCTATGTTCATTAGATGTCTCTGCTTCAGAGTAAAAGCCCAAGATAAGCCAATAGTAGAAAGGCATTAAGTTACTTAACTCCCACAGTTCCAGAGCTATGAGCTCACTGTGCTATTTCCATAGTAGCAGGAAATGCACAACTGGCAGGTCAACGACCACCACTCACTGAGTCATTAATGCTGCACCTGGATTGGCTTTGAGAAGACATTTGTTGCATGTTTCAATCAGAGACTAGCTTATACATAAAATTACAGGTTTACTGGATTATACTGTACTTTTATGAAAAAGCTCATTTCTGATTGGCTATAGGACTTTTAAAAATTAAATTATTCAACAGATATAAACAGTCATTTGTTTGGCTAAAGCAGTACTGGAAATAAATTTAAAAAAATTTTAGACTCATAAGACACCATTTATAAAAATTTTAGACTCATAAGACACCTTGTAGCAATTTTCCCATACTTACCAATTACTTTTTACTGAGTTTTGTTTTGACGGGGGAGGGTGACGGGGTGGGTGGGGGTGTTGATGTTCTCATATAGTGGAGAGTGTAGAAATAACCTCAAGTTTATAGGGGAAAAAACAAACTTATTTTTAATTTTCTACCTTTCTGTTACAATTGACATTTTTACTACATATATGAATTACTTTTATAATTTAAAAAAAAAAAAAAAAAGATGAAGAAATGTTTAGGAGATCTTTCAAAGCAGAGACCTGGCGTGCAAACCAACTTCTTGAGTTGAGCCAAGGAGGCACCTATTGGTCTGCCTTGGTAAATTAAGAAAAGAAATGGTAAAGCAGATCATGCCCACCACACCTTTCAGAAACAAATAAGTACCAGGACTCTTTTACTATCTAAGAGGGAACCACCAGGAACCACAGTTATAAGGCTTTCTGTAGGTTTCTAGACCCTCCATACTATTTCTACAAATAATAGTATACTTATATTTTGTACACACAAGAGCCAACGAGAGGATTCCTTGGTCTAGACCCTGAGAAAGATGACTGCAAGAGACAAAGGCACATATGAGAATGACCAGTAGATTAAAGAAAGGTAACAAAATAAGGTGGATCAGTCTAACTCGCCCACCATGTAGAACCTTTCAAGTCCTACCCCCAAACACTTAGGTTCTAACAGAGGCTTATTGCATGCCTGGGTACCTTTTAGGAAAGTTTCATTTGTGAAAGGAACTAAAGTAGTAGTCTGGCTAGGCCAACTACTCACAAGAAATGTACAATAGCAGCAAGGCCATTGAAAAAGGTTAAGTGGTGATACTTTAAATACTGATACCGGAATTGAAGTCATCCCGGGACTCCCATCCACCTCTAGATTCTCGAGAGCCACCCATTCCTGAGGATACACAAAAAAGATAAGTTGAGGTAGGATCATTACCTTGCTGCACAAACAGGAGAAATTCACTGGGACGAAGTACAACTCATGTGATGGGAAGTTCAATGAAATTATAGTTTTTGCTGCCGACAGGGGGGAAAAAAGAAAACAAAAAAACACCCAGGCTTGCAGAAGCATCATTCATTTTTTCTATGACTTTACATGTTTTTAAAAGATCACAAAAACCTATCAGACCTACAAGACAGAGTTCTAGTAACCTTCCAGAGTTGTGTAACCAGTAGGCATACAGCAAGTTTTATGTTGTTTTAGAAGAACCAATCACCTCTGTCATCTGGTCCACCTTTCCTGAATCCAAAGCCACCTTTATCTTGTTTTCTGCCTTCTGCAATGTCCACACGAAGTGACCGATCACCCAACAGCTAATGATAAGGGGAAAACAGTGTTAAGTATTAGCAAGAAAAATCTCAACTGCTAACATGACAGAGAAAACCTGAAGATACTTACTGCACCATCGTATGTCAAGGCTTCCTTAAGGGAATCCACCTCATTAAATTCTACATAGCAGAATCCTGTAAGAGAAAACAAACCCTATTTCCTCAAGGAATTTTGGGTTAAAGATATGGTGGGATCCCTAGTTGTACCACTTTTTCACTACCAGAACTACCACTTTTGTTGCATCTAGATGACCGCAGACTAGTAGAGCCTGAAAGAGCAAGTTTTACTTTTCAGTAAGTAGAACTTGATTAGCATTCCTCCCTCTCAGTTATATTGTCGGAAAGTACTAATCAAACAGGAACTGAAATAGCAGCTGTGTTTTTATAAAGCTTTCTTCTTGTTTTAACCATAATATTAAAACCTATCCTGGATCACTGCAGTGCTGCTGGTTCTGACTTCTGAATGATTTTCATATAATCTAAATAGGGTTTTAAGACATTTCAAATTCAATACTGAACATGTTTTGAAGGAAGTGGCCGAAGGTGCCTGTAGTTGGTATAAAAACCTCTGAATAAGCTTTTTCTTCTACCTGCAACACTTTTGTCCATGTCCCTTCCTTGCCATCTGGAGTCTACCTCTGGGTTAAGTACTCGCCCTGGCCTAATATGCTCACCAGTAACTTGTATAACCCCCACCCCTGCTGGAGCATCCTCACCCTGTGGGATGATTACACTTCACCTTCAAAGCCCACTAGACTGCAAGTGCTTTGAAGGCCTGGGTCCAAACTTTTCCTGTTCACCATTTGCTCAGTAAGTTACCGACAGAAAAATGTACTGCTAGGCAGGAGAGTGTCTACCTTGCACTCAGCTTCTTCCCTAAGTGGATTCAATATTTAGAAAAATTGAGAAAACCACCCTCAAATTCAAAGAGGAATCAGCAGCCAAGTCACACCATAGAGGATGATTCTCTATGAGACAAAGTCTAAAACCTGCTGCTACTGATTCAGCCCAAGGTTGGCTTCACCTACACATTTTTACCTTAAGTTTGAATTCCTAATACTTGTTAGCAGGCAAACTGGATAGGACTTACTTTCACAAGCTTTACTAATATATATATATGTGTGTGTGTGTATGTATATACACACTGGTTTAGACTCTCCCCCTTATAATAATGTGTAGGCAGGGAGACTAATGAAATACTGTAAGAAGGCTTCAGATACTTAAGTCAAAAAGCTTTCGAAAAGATGAAAATACATGGAAGCACTAAGATGAGCAACACTTCTGTTTCTTGTATAGCTCCTCACTGTAAATCACCACAGTCGCTCTACTTTTTGGGGCTGTACTTCTGGATAAATAATGAAAAACAAATGCCCTTGCACTTGCATCATGCACTTAACTACTGGGCACATTTCTCCTCGGGCAACCTTGAAAACTAGATGAGAATGTCGTTTGATTCTTCATTCTTATTCCTTCTTTGCTCAAGTGCCCTTAAGATACTAATCTATGGATACTAACTTTATCTGAAATTTGAGCCAACCCTCTCTCAAGCACATGCTCTGAAATCACAAATGTAGAGTGACAACACTTACTCGATTATCTTTGGGATTTTATAATAAATAACTAAATTACAGGAAAACTACGAAGAAAAATGCATGAGTTGGCTAAGGTGAAATGCACCCAAAACGTCCTTGGTTTTATCTGTTCACTTCTCTCCCATGTAACTCCTTTACTGGCAGACAGGATTGCTATGTAGGTCAGGCAAACAGATTAACTTGGGTACATGCCACATATTTCTACAAACTAGATTATGTATAAAATATTTTCCCCCAGAACTGAAGACCTGGATTAAAGTGCTATTTTTTTTTTTTATTTCGGCTACTTGAACCATGCAAACACTTATAACACTTTCATAATTAGAGCCCTTTTGTTAACACATTTTTTGGTTTAGACTCTCCCCCTTATAATAATGTACTTTAAAAATTCCCCTCAAACTCACCTTTAAATTTGTCTGTGTCTTTGTCTCTGACTAGCCGTACACTCCTTATGCTGAGATCCTTAAAGATAGCATCTATGTCGCCCTGAACTGTATTAAAAGGTAGATTTCCTACATAGGCTGTGTAGGGGGGCTCTGTGGGCAGCTCCTTCTGGCTACGGGAACCATGGCCACCAGCACTGCCACGGGACCTAGGAGGGAAAACAGACAGGATTCAAATTTGCCCACATGTTCCTGCCCTAGATCAGGAACAATGAAAATGTCTTCCTCTCAGCCATACCACCAAGGTGAAACGTTCCACTCTAACATACAATAATATCAATTGGAAATTACAGAGTATTCCAGAACACTATTTATGAAAATGATGTCTGTTTTTGGTAACACAGATCTCCACAGAAACACAATCTATGTAAACATGCATTTCTTTTGAAAATCAAATCCAAATATATCCTATGATTCTCTTGTATTCACTTAGAATCAGCATCTGCAAAGTGTTTACATCCTAAAATGCCCTTTCTCACACCCAGTAATACTAATATATACAGAAACGTACTGTCTAAAGTCATTGTGTTGTACTCAGGAGGGAATATCAAAGCTGCTGATTACACTCATAATACAATTGTTCTTGCTATTGTCTGGATATGGATAACCACACTCTAATAAAAACTTTAGATTTTGTGCAGCAGGTACTATGTATGTACTATTCTCTCTACTCCCTATGCATTACTTCCCTGGGTCCTCAAATATATGGTACATATTACTAATCCATTTCCTCAGATATAATGAGAGTGGTTTACTTATCCTTGGTAACAGAGCTATAAAGTGGCAAAGACAGGACCTTGATTCTACCACATCATTACTAATTTGCAGAGGTATCAGTTTAAATCCCAGCTCTATCACTTACTAGCCACATAACTTTGAGGTGTTACTCAGCTTCTCTAAGCTTCACTTATTTGTGTAATTGGGCTAATACTGACAAAGACCTTGAGTTATTTAGAAATAAGGTGCTTCTTACATTGCCTGACACACAATATACATGTTTAGAGTAACAATTATCACTGCCATCTACAATTTGAGGTTAAAAATGTTTTCCGGATAATCAAATGTCAGCTAATAAATGCATGGAATTAAGAATCACATGATTAGAAAATCACTACTCTGCAACTGCCAATGTAGTAATAACTGATCCAGGCCAGGCTCATCAATGGATGCCAAAACCACTGATAAACTGAGTTCTGGGTGAACAAGATATTCACATGATCTTGAATAACCCCAGACATTATTAATCTCATGGAGGAAAGAAAGTTCCTTCTCAAATGGAAAAATCTGGCAGTCACCTCCTTAACCAGGTAATTGAATTTAGTATCACTAAATAATGGGACAAGGTTACATTATATGCCTTCTATACTGGCATGGATTCTTCAAATATGTCAGTCATGAAAGATAAAAAAAAAAAGGCAGGGAGACTAATGAAATAGTACAACAAATGTTATGTGTGATCTTTGGATCCTGGAATGAACAACTATAAAAGAAAAGCAGATGGAGAAATTTGAATATGATATTATAAATATTACTGTATCAATGTTAAGTTTCTTAGAAATGATCATTGATATTGCAATTATTAGAAGCCTTTCAAGAGAAACAAAGTATTCAGGAGTGAAGTGTTAAGACAGCCAACATTTATTTTCAAAGAGTTCCGCATAAAGGATACGAGAGCATTTATGTATATAGAACGTAAATGTGAAACTTGTGAATAATCTATCAGAGGCCACTGTATCATTCTTTCAGCTTTACTGTAGGTTTGAAAATTTTTCAAAATGTTTGCAAAACACAATAGAAAAAAATTAAAGAGGGAGGCATTCTTTTGAAAATGATGTTTAAAACAAATGAGTCTTCCTCACAACAGTCATTCTTTTTGCAGGGGAAATTTAATGTTAGTCTTGGAAAGCAACTTGATTTACATATATTGTTAGAAATACGAAAAATTCCACATCTTCCTTGAGATGAATTCTCAGTAAATATTTCGTAACAAATATTCTTTAAAACATTTTTCTAAAGCAGAACCAAGCCATGATGCAATTCTTAGATGGCTAAAAAATTTCAACTTAATAACTCAGAATTCTACTTCCCAATAGAAGTATTATTCTGCATTATGTTCTAAGAACACCAGAAAAATAGGTTAAGTGAATTGCATGCCACTTCCCCTTCTCCCAAAGTTTAGCAAATGTGACTTATTCTGCATTTCAACACTACTGCTATTGTACAACACTACTGTTATTATCTCAATAACCATAAAACTTAAATTATTTTCAATAAGATATCTTTGGGATTGAATACTTAAGATACAGTATAAACATATGGAAAAATGTCAAAATGGAGGATGAATAATACACTTTAAATTCTCACTTAACATCGACAGGTTCTGTGACTTTAAGCAAAATAACATCACAAAACCAATTTTACCATAGGCGAATTAATATAAACAAGAGTTAAGTTCCTGTAGTATCCCAATGCTCTAATAAAATCACACTGGATGAAATGATGTTATTTGAGGACATGTTCTGTAAGTAAAAAAAAAAAGCAAAAGCTACAATGATTTTTTAAAAATTTAAGGTGAATAGGAGGATGAAGAGATGGTAAATTCCACAGGTATGTGTATGATGAATCAGAAAAATGGAGGTAGGAAAGCTTGCTAAAAAGGCACATTAAATGTTCATACGAGAACTTATGAAGGGTGCTCAACACAAGACTGAAAAGATACAGTCAGACAACCTCTGACTGATATCAGGAGGCAGGAGAGCCTTGATAGGGGCTGCTGCTACCTAGGTGAATGGTAATAAGATGATGGGGGCACTACTAAGAATGCAGTAGGAGGAGAAGCCAGCTCTAGTTTCGGGAAGACAGAAGAATCTCATTTCAGGAAAGCAGTATTTTAAGAGCTAGAGATGTGGAAACAGCTAATTAACCCAAATCCATCAACTTGCTCATTTCATTCTAGCCTCACAAAACCACTAGTGGCTTAACAGCCTAGACTTTTTCAAGAATGACTGATGTAGTTCCAAATACTACCCCATCAGATTAGTAAATTCTACAGGAAGGCAGTGGGATTGGGGGTATCTAGGAAGATTTCAATTTATTTACTAACATTTATGACAAATCTACAGTGTGCCAGCAACTTGAGAGACAAATCCCAGAGACTACATATGCGCATAATAAAATATATTATCAACCAAATTTAAAAAATCAAATTTCGGAAAATTCTTTGAGCTAAAATTCCTGATACTTTTACCACTAGTTTAAATTTAGAGGTGACTATTATCTAAATAAATAAGCTGTTACATGGAAGCACTTCCTAAAACAGGTTAAAAATAACAAATAGGAAAGACTCATTTGATACCTTAATATCTAAAGTTTCCTTGTCAGTTATTTGATAAATATTTCAAATCTTTTTTTATAAAGAAATTTAAAATTGATCAGAAAAACACTTTTTAAATACTGACTGCTTTATAAAAGTTTAATAACAATTCTAAAGTGTTATGGAAAGGCTAAATCTGCTAGAGGCTATACTGTTCGTGCAGAAGCAGGTGATCAGCAGCCATGAGTATAAAACAGACGACAACAGACAATATGAGTGGCAGGCCTCGGCAGACCCCTTCTCCATTTAGAATAGAAACCTGAAAGTCTGTGCTGCAAACTCCCAGGCCATACCATCCTTGCCACTGAGCAATGATACCCCCCTGCTCATTATTATCCCTTGGGGGAGAAGTCATTGATTTTTAAAACAATATATGGCAGTTTTAAGGTAATGAATTACATCCTCAGTATCAGGAAATCCAACTTTCAACTCCGAGAGTAACCAAAATCCTTTACAGACAGATCACTTTTCTTCAATCAAATCAACTAAATATCTGAATGTCCATTAAAGAGAGTCCAGTATAGAGGGCACAAACCTAAGACTCAATTTCTTCCCTCAAGGAGCTGAGGTGGATCCAGGCATCTAGAAAAGAGAAATCCCACCCCAATCAAAGAACTACAGAACAGGAGACAGCAATGAGAGCAGTCTCTGTAGAGTAGAACAACAGGAATTTGGACTACACTTTCCAGATAGCAGACAGGGAGAGAACAATGAACTCCTATAATAATGTGTGAATAAGCAAAGATAAGTAGAAGTGAAAGAAGACTATAGGAAGGGTGACCATGAGAAAAAATATTAAGAATAGAAATTATTGGGGGTGGGATTAGATCCAATAAGGAGGTGAAAGAGAAAACAAATGCTCAAGACTTATTTCCAAAGTATAAAAGTTAATGAAAACCGAAGGACATATGCTAAGTTATTTTTGGGAAAGAATTTTATAAAGATTTCTAGATGTATTAGAAACTATATACAATTTAAGCACTGTTGCTGTCACTCAAAACTTCAAGACCAATGCCAAGATAACAAGATTATAGAGTATTAACCTCTCTCTTTGGGATTTGAAACATTAGGAGTTCTATTACCTCTACGTGATAACTGAAATAATTTCATTAGGGCTGATCAACAACTCTGGTCTTTCTTGCGCCATCCAGAAACACTTATTAGCACATACGATTTGGCACGTGGCACTACGTTAGATCCTACATAAAATCACAATAAGACTGCCTTTATAATAGTAAAATACAAGTAAGAAAAAATCTACTGAGCCTCTTTTTAAAAAAGAGAAAGTAATGGTCAAAATGTGTAATGTATTTAGTTCCTATACAATAATCAAAAAAGATTAAGCTCTCAAAAGTCGAGCCCTTATATCATTTTAAACTACCTCTTACTAATATCTTACATTAGTAAGATACACTAGTTATAATCATTAAACCAATACTGATACATTATTAGCTAAGTTCAGTTTATTCAGATTTCCTTAGTTTTTACCCAGTGTCCTTTTTTTCTGTTGAGGATCCTATCCAAGATGCTAAACTGACATTTTAGCTGCAGTTTAGGCTTTTAAAAATTAGCCAACGCAACTTGGATTAAAGGCACTTTCCAAGTAGATCTCCCTCTAAGGCATTTTCTAAGGCCTTCAATCAGCATTCAAACTTAAATCCCTTCATCTAGATAACTGTCATTTACTACAAGATGTGCATGGAAGCTTTTGAAAGCTTCTGGTAAACACTGGGGGCAAAGCAATGTCTATGGTAAATTCTTCAATAAGCCTTATTT